GCACCCACCCTGGACAGGGTGCCCCCTCACAGGGCCACGCCCACCCACCCACACACGCCGAAACTGGGACAATACAGACACACCAGTTCACTTCAAGTGCACATCTTTGGGATGTGAGAGGACACTGGAGGACCCAGAGAAAACCCAAACGAAAAACACTTGGGGAGAATGTGCGATCTCCACGCAGACAAACTGGGAATCTGTTTTTTGTTTTTTTTCTTCAACAATGTTGTAACAAAGTGACATTGAATGAAACAACATTATTTGAGGACCTGCTTTGCTTGAAAAACAGCTGGATGGCAAGAAGTAGCCCATAGTGACTCTAAGGCAGTGGTTATGCCGCCACCCTTTAATACAGTTCCTCATGTTGTGGTGACTCCCAACCATAAAATTGTTTTTGTTGCTACTTCATAACTGTAATTTTGCTACTGTTATCTCTTAGTTGGACCCTGTGGAAGGGTTGTTCGACCCCCAAAGGGGTCATGACCCACAGGTTGAGAACTGCCGCAAGGAAACATGTAGAGCGTTGGTTCTCACAGTGAGTGATTTTGTCCCCAGGGACAAATCTTGGCAATGTCTGGAGGTATTTTGGTTTGCCTTACAATAATCTTGTTCAGGTACCATCCTTTCACGTTTTTTAGGGTGACAGTCTCAAAACTGAAAATTTCCCTTTGCCTCCATTCAAAGTGAGACTTTGTGATATGAGTAGGAAATTTCTGGTAACCTAATTTGTTTCCCTCAATTTTTATTAATTTATTTTTGTTATAGATGTTTCTCCTTTTTCCCCCCTACGGTGACTTAATTTCTTTAAATAAAGTTTTTGTAGAATAATTTTAGCGACACAGGAGTTGCAGAGGTAGCACTGAGAGTCCCTATATTCCCCCATGTACCCACTCTCCCCTGTTGTTAACCCTTACATGACCCTGGCACCTTGGTCACAATTAGTGAGCCAGTCTTGCTCTACTACAGGGTGGGCAAAAGTAGTTTTACAGTTGTTCGTATGGACAATAATAGAATAATAAGCAATACAAGAATTAACTGTTTTGCCTACTCACCACTTTTGTCCTACCCTGTATGATGAACTAAAGTCCATAATTTTATTACAGCGTGAGCCAGTTTTAAAGGTTATTTCCAATAATTTCTAAAAAATGCAAATCAATATTGACTATCCATACTACCTAGTGGCTTCCTGATCCTTAATAGAAATGAAGTAACTTTGTAACCCATGGTGCTGATCAGGAAATAAGGGCTTATAATAATATGGGTTTAAAAATCCAAGTGTGGCCCCGCTGGTGTGGCTCAGTGGCTTGAGCGTCGTCCCATGGACTGAGAGGTCCCAGTTCGATTCCCGGTCAGGGCACATGCCCGGGTTGTGGGCTCGATCCCCAGTAGGGGGCGTGCAGGAGACAGCTGGTCGATGTTTCTCTCTCTCTCCCTCGCTCTCTAAAAAATCAATAAAAGCATTTTTTTAAAATCCAAGTGTGGGAATCTTATAGTTTAACGTTTTATTTGTAAGTTGGGTATTAATAAGGATGGCAAGGTAGAGTTTGATCACTAGTAAAGCTGGTTTGTTGTTGCCTGGAAAATATATTATGACACGGTTTATTTTCTGTAGTTAATCTACCCTGAGATCATGGGACAGAAAAAAGGCTGCCCTTGAGTAGGAAACGTGCCCTCCAGGGACGGAGTTGAAACTCAGTTTAGGACACAGAATAAGTAGTCAGTAGGCAAAAGGCTAATTTCTACAATTCAGATTGGTATCAGTTTATTCTAATTCTTTTCCCCAGGACTGTACAATTTAAGATTAAATTTTATATTGAGGCATATTAAAGATCTTGGAATTTTGCTCTTTCAGTTGAACCTATTAATCAGCTTTAATGCAGTCTTGGGTAGAGTAAAAACTTAATCTTTTCTCTCTTTGAGGGCTTTTTTAGTTTTCCATCCTCAAAGCTTTAAAAAAAACGCAGCAATGAAACATTATTGCTTCTTAAAGACTCTGCTTTGATTCCATTTTCTTCTGTAATCCTCTTTTAGTATTTTTTCATTGCATTATTTGAACCATGAAATAAATAAAAATTGTACTCAAATGAAATTTAAAATTAACGAAGCTTTGGAAACATCCCAAACCTCAGAACGTATTTTTTCCCTAGTTTTTTTGTTTTTTCGTTCTAGAAAGTAGGTCAGTAGAAATAGCATCCTTTAATTGGTTTAATTAGAAATGGAAAACTATAAGAGTAACTCAATTTGAAGTGTAGATTTAAATAAGAAGAAATATACTGGGATTAATATCACTTAAATGTCTGAATTTAAATAAGATGCATTTAATCATAGCTTATAATTTCTTTTTGAAAGATTTTAATAGCAGAGAGGAGGCCTAAGTGTTGGAGTGTATCAATACAGAGGGGAACATTTGCTGTGAAGTATAATACTTGACAAGGAAATCATCATGTTGATTAAATGGTATGCCTAAGAACTTTATTCTACAGGACCTTAAGAGATATGTGGTGGGTGGGGGAATATTCTCTGCCCAAATAAGTTTGAGAAATACTAAGTTAAACAAATTTTAAAACTTGCCTACAGGACTTCTCAGAGCCTTTCACATTTTCTTAATTTCTCCAAGAAGGTATATATAGAGTAAGTGGCTTTGCCAATTTATTGATTCCTTGATCACCTAGTAACATTTTTCAGGAAAATGTTCTGAGCATTCACATGTGACCTGTTTTTGGAATGTATACCTTTGAAAATGTTGAGGACGTTTTTTTTCCCGTTATAGTGATGACGTGGCTTCATTCACATACGTTGCTTTTCCCTAATTCTACACCTATAAGAAGTTTTTCTATGGAGTGTGTACTATGGAGGTATAACATCGAACCCTGTACTCAATACCTTCCTTCCATTAACTAAAGTGTGATTTCCCAACGTGACTGGGTATCGGAAATAGGAGCTTTTTAAAAAGATTTAGGTTCCCAGGCCCTGACCCTGGAGATTCTGATTGAGTAGAAATGTCACTGTGCTCAGGATCCTGTATTTATTGCAAATGTCCAGGCGCTTCTGATGCAGTCAGCACTGGTCTTTCAAGGGTGCTGTTGAACTAAAAGTGTGTATGTTTTAGATCGGTGATTGGGTTTGGGGTGCAGTTAGTTTGTAGTCACAGAACACATGGGTCAACCACCCTATCCTGGAGAGAACTGCAGCAGTGACCTCCAGTGACCCTGTAGGGTGGTGTGTTGGCTACAACCTAATGTGAAACCATTGCTGTTTTCCTTTAACAAAAGCAGAATACTAAGGGAGCTTTTGGTCACCTTCTAAGAACGAATACTGTATATAAGATTACCATTTGTTTTTACTTAGTTTGAGTAGCTCCCTTGTGGATAGTAAATTATTTATACTTTAAAAAGAAATACTGGTTTATATTTACTCATGGTGTCATCTAAGAGTATATTCTCTCTCACCCTCCTGCTGATAACAAAGAATATATTCTCTCCCACCCTCCTGCTGATAACAGATGGACATTTAACCTTAAGAAGCAAACAGGCCAAGATTCTGTCTCATTTATGCTTTGATTTATGTGAGCACTGATAATAGCTTTTCTATTAAAACTATATGGTTATAACTCTGCCTGGTAAAACAGTTCTGTATTCCTAGAAATTCTCTTTTGTGTCCCACAAATATAGGAACAATGTAAATCTAACAGTATGAAAAAGCAATATGAATATTGTTAATGGTTTGAGAGGCAACTAGTCTTAGCATATCTTGGTTGAATAGTGTCATATTACCAATAATATGTGAAATACCGGACATACTCCTTAAAAGTAGGAAATATCCACCACTGTCTTAAAATTATTCTACAAGTCCTTGCCAATGCAATGAGACATGAAACAAATAAAAGGTGTAGTTATTGAAAATTGGAGAGAAAATTTTCATTACTTACAAATAAAATTGTATACATTGAAAACCTGAGAGAAGTTACAGAATAAAATCAATATATTTAATAAATGGATTAGATATCAGAGGTACCCCAAATCCACATTTCTTTTATGTACAAACTTGTTTTGGTACATACAGTCTTGTTGTTTCTGTGTCTTTTATTGGTTGGTGAAATAACAAATAGAAAAAGTGTTTGTGTTGTCAGGTTAGAGAATCAGGGGAGAGAGCAGTGCCATAAAAAGCAAGGGAGGAAAACGTTGTGTGGAGAGCATAACAACCATGGCATATGTCACAGAGACATCAACAGGTGACTCCTCTGGATGCCACTGATGGTCTGGAGGTCACTGGCTTCCTTTGCCAGAGCCACGCGGGTAACCTGAAGGAGGTGAGAGCCAGACCAAAGTGGTTGAGGGAGCAATGTCAAGACATCAAGTTTGTAATGGAAGAAAAGAAAAGTTTGAGAATTTTGTTGTCGCTATTCTGTCGTTTTGCTTGTTTTCCGTGCCCTTTGTCATCTGCCCGTGAGGCTGGACTCCCCAAAGGCAGGCTGTGCTTCTGTGAGCCTGCAGTGCAGGGCACCGCTCCAATGTGAGGGGCACACGGGGGCTTTATGTTCGATTCATGACTGCAAATGAAGGTTTTGTTGTTGTTTTTTGTTAATCCTCACCTGGGGATATTTTTCCATTGATTTTTAGAGAGAGTAGAAAGGAGGGAAGGAGAGAGAGAGAAGCATCCATGTGAGAGACACATCAATAGGTTACCTCCCACTCAACCTCCACCGGGACCAGGGATCGAACCTGTAACCCAGGTACGTGCCCTTAAACCTGTGACCCTTCGGTCTGAGTGCCGACCCTTTAACCACGGAGCCACACCAGCTGGGGCGAATTTTAACACTGTTGCTAGTAGGCAAGATACAGAATATATCTCAGGGAGTTCTCGTTTTCTGCTAGCAGCCCTAGCTTTGAGACACTCTGTCCCTGTGCCAGCAGAGCAGCTGGGCTGCTGCTCATCTCCAAGTCTGCTCACCAGTCTCGCCGCCTTTATTCATGACCGGTTTTGGGCTTTTTTCACAGCTATGAAACCTACATAGTGGACCGTCATGACGCTTCTCCTGTTGAACGTGTGATGAGGAGCAGCGTTAGGCTTTGGAGTTCTCGGATCCAGAGGAATTCCCGAGGACTCGGAGCCCGGCCCTGACCACTAGAGAGCCCACACACAATGAACAAACTGAACTTCCATAACAACAGAGTCATGCAAGACCGCCGGAGTGTGTGTATTTTCCTTCCCAACGACGAATCTCTGAACATCATCATAAATGTGAGTAGGTCCCACTTTAGAAATGTTTAAATAATTGTGTTCTCACCAGTGACCACATCCAAGTGATGACCTGGTTAATTAAGGGTGAAGTTGCTACAGAATGAGACCATTAATAATGTGGTGGATTGGGGTGTCCCAGTAGTCTACGCAGGGATGAACTCTGAGTTAGGGCTTACATGCAGCTGCCTTCAGCATTCTCTTGCCTGGGTAAAATTAGAGAATTATGGTCACTACATTATAGAAAAACAAACACTTTGCTATTTTTAACCTTTATTGAAATATTATTTGTATTGAGATATAACATGAATTTGCTTTTTGAATGCTTTTGAGTTGTACCTACACACATGAAATAGCAATAACTTCTAGCTTCTTAATGTTTGATCATTGTTTTATTTATTTATTTATTTATTTATTTATTTTATTATTTTTTTTTTTATCCTCACCCGAGGACATTTTTCCATTCTTTGCTCAGGTAGAGTGGGAGGGAGAGAGAGGCACAGAGAGAGAGAGAGAAACATCGACGTGAAAGGGACACATCGAGTGGCTGCCACCCGCACGACCGACCAGGGCTGGGGACGAACCGCAACCGAGGTACATGCCCTTAGGGGGAACCGAACCCGGGTCTCTCAGGACCGCAGGCCGACGCTCTAACCTCTGAGCCAAACTGGCCAGGGCTTGATCATTGTTTTAATAGTAACTTAAGTCTAGCCAATTTCAAGATTAGGCTGTGCTTTTGAACATTAAGCTATTTCTTTGTCTTTTCTTTAAATATTGTCCCTCAGTAGTGTTTTTTGTTGTTGTTTTTATTTTTTTTTAAATATGTTTTTATTGATTTTTCAGAGAGAGAGAGATAGAAACATTGATGTCAGAGAGGAACATCAGTGGGCTGCCTCCTGCACGTCCCTTACTGGGGATCGAGCCTGCAACTGGGGATGTGCCATGACGGGGAATCGAGTTTGCACCTCTCAGTCCATGGGACAGTGCTCAATCCACTGAGCCACACCAGCCGGGCTTAAACTGTTTCTTATGCTTCATGAGTGAAGGTTAATTATCTTTAAGTTCACCTGGGCATTAAGGAATATGACATTATTTTTTCTACTCCTATTTTTTTTTTTAAATTCTCACCCAAGGTTAGTTTTCCATTTGTTTTCAGACAGAGTGGGAAGGAGAGATATAGATAGAGAGAGAGAGAGAGAGAAACATCAGTGTGAGAGAGACACATCGGTTGGTTGCCTCCTGCATGACCCTGATTAGGGCCATGGACTGAACCACAACCAAGGTACGTGCCCCTGACTGGAATTGAACCTGTGACTCTTTGATCCGCGGGCTGACACTCTAACTGCTGAGCCAAACTAGCCAGAGCTGGTTTTTTTTGTTGTTGTGTGGGGTTTTTTTTAACTTTAAAATTGAGTGATAATTTACATGCCGCAAAGTATAGAAATCTTCTTAAGTGTGCAGCTCAATGAATTTTTACAAGTGTACATCCATGTGATCATCACTGAACTTAGATATAGTACATTTTCAGCGCCCTGGAAAGATCTTTTGTGACTCTTCCTGGTCAATAATCTCCACCCAAAGGGTAACAACTAATCCCACCTCTGTCACCATAGAGTAATTTTGCTTGTTTCTGAACTTCATGACACTGAACTTTTGTGATATGTTCTCTTTTGTATCTGGCTTCTATTACTCAATATTTGGCCTGTGAAATTCATCTACTTTATTGCATGTAATAGTCATTCTTTCCTTTTCATTGTTGTATAATACTCCATTGTGACTACGCTCAGTATCTTATACTATTGTTAATAGGTATTGGGTTATTTTTAAATTTGGGACTATTATTAGTAAAAATGTTATGAACATTTTATGTGTATGCACATATGTATACATTTCTGGGCTTATACCCTAGAGTGGAATTTTATATCTCAAGGTATATGTATGTTTAGCTTTGGTAGAAATTGCCAAACAACTTTATGGTAATCAATAGCATGCTTAACATTTTCCAACCTTTCTTCCTTATTATCAATTTTCACTGATTATATTCTGATAGAATTAAGGAAAAAAATTGCCTTAGTGCATGCCTTGAATTAGTTTTCTTTGCTATGTACTACTGTATTTTAACCCAACTGCTGTATAAAAAAATATTTGTAAGTGTTATACTGAATATACATGATATTTAAATGGCACCATTAAAACATTTAGATAGTAAAAGGTTCTACTTACTACCATAACTATTTTGGCTTTATTCTGACAACCACCATAGTTTCTTGATTTACTAATACAACCTTGTTTTTGTTCATAGGGGTTGTCTGAGAGGCAAATCTGCCTATTGAATTAACTTTATCATCTGTCGGGCAGAATTTTTTTTTTTTTTGATTAGGTACTCAGGGTTCCTGAGTTGATTTTGATGTGTTAAATGACAGACTATTATGTTTTGTAGCATTTGGTTTTTAAAACCTAATAAAAATTGGCAGCATATCTCTAGTTCATTATGGGCACTGGCAAAATATATTAAAACATAATTTACTTATATATGTGAGCATGCTATTTGAGTTCTTTTATACAGTTATACGAAAATGTATCCACTCAGTTTTAAAAATATACATAATCATATAGTATAAGCACTTAGGAAACTTTTCTCAATTCCATTTCTATCTTTTCACCTGGTGGACTATGGGTACACGTGTTTGTGTGTGTTTATGCACACATATAGGATGTGTAACAAAACCTGACTGATCTCAGTAAGTGGTAGGAAGTGACTTCATGAGAAATACTGAGAGCTGACAATAATTTTCTAGGAAATTAATTTGTACTAAAAGCTCAGTTGAGGAAGATAATTGTAGAGAACAGATTGGAAGATAGTCACTCCATTCATTGTTGTACATCAGTGGCTTTAAAACTTTCATGTACATCAGGATTATTTGGTGAGCCTGTTACATCTTCAGACCATTGTACTTCACTCCTTGAAGATGCCGATGTAGTAAGTTCTAGGGTAGTATATGGGAATCTGTGTTTAAAAGATTCCCTGAACGGGTGCTATAGATAGATTAAAATCAAGCCAGACAGACAAAGACTTTCATATTGGCACCACCTTGTTTAATTCCACAGAACTCTTTTTACTGGATTGCGTTTTTGACATTGTGTCTGTGTCCTAGTCCTTAGAATACATAGTAAAGGCAAAGTCAGTGTTGATCATTAGTAATATATTTATCATCATTGTTGAAAATGCTGTAAGATTGTTCATATTTTGACTCTACAGTTTACTAGTTTTATGACCTTTGGACAAGTTGCTTAAGCTCACTCACCTTCCCCTCTTGCAGAAGCCACTTTCCCAGTACTGAGCACATAGTAGGCACTTGATTTATATTAGCGCCCTTCCTGCCTACCTTTTGTGAAGAATAATTGAGGGGCCGTATGGTAGTGAAAAGACATGTATGTATTGAAAACACACAGACCTGAATTCAAATCCCATGTCTGAATGACTCTTGGAAAGTTCATTAAACCTCCCTCAGCTTCAACATCTTCACCTCTAAATGAAACTAGTACCTACAGTACAGAGTGATTGTGAGAATCAAGAGTTAGCATATAGCATAATTTCTCACACGCAGATGGTAGCTGCTACTATTACTTTTATTCCTCACTCAGAGATTAGTTTTACACTTCTTTAATTCCCTTCTTTTGCCAAATCAGTATGATAATTCCTGCAGGATCGTCAGGACTGTGAGCATGGACTGTAAAGCCACATGTCATGATTGAGGAGGATTTAGAGTGGCAGGGGCCTAGGTAAAAACCCATAGTCCACAAGTTGCTCTGCACCTTAGGCAAGTTCGGTGTTTGCTTCAGTTTCCTCATCTTTAAAGTGTAGATAATCTTACTCTCCTCACAGGGACATTGCAAGGATTTAAAGCTCTGGCATGCATAAAGAGCTTATGGCAACCCTCATTTCAACTGGGGGCCGTGTTAGTGAAACACACGGAGAGTCTGAACCCCGTGTAGGCCGCTTCTTATTTCAGGACATGTAGATCCCCTGCCTTGGCCCACTCCTCTCTATCAAGCTTTTGGACCCAAGGAGGGAGGGGCTGGGTTAAGGAGTATGGGAACCCCTCACTGCTCCAAACCGTTCAAGGTTGCCAAAGGTCGGTCTTTTCCTACAAAGTGTCATTTTTGTATTAAGAAAATAGCAGTTGATGTTTGTAGAGTTGTGGTATAAGAAATTAACTGTAGGAAAAACTATTTCATTAATGGTCTGATTTTTTTCTAAAGAGTCTTTTAAACAAAGAAAGTTTATTCTCTGACAAGTGTAGTTGATAGAATATTGTCTTTCTGCATGTGGGGTAAATGTAGTGTTTTGGTCATTCCAAATTCTCCATGAGTTAAACTGATAGGGGCTGTTTTAAATTAACTTAATCATCGATAAGTGTTGAATGTGGAAACTTGGAAAATTTTGGAAATAAAATCATGGTAAATATAAGAGCCACGGAATTTTTGAATGATATAAACTGTGACCAAACGCATATACTTCTTCACTAAGACTAGTGTGAACAGTTTTTATTTTTCTTGGAACCTATTGTAAACCTTCTTGCTCAAAGCAAACCATTGACACTTAGGATCAAATGCTGTTTTTATTAAAAAACTTCCATGTAGAGTATATTTTTAGATAATGCCTTAATTTTTATTCTTAATACCTCCTACTCTATAGCACTTTTTAAAGTTCCCATTGCTCCTAAAGATTAAAGAACGAAACATTTCACAACAGCTAAAGTGTAGCCTTAAAAGACTCATAATATGCCAACACAAAAACCCCAGCTTGTTTTCACAGCATGTGAAACTCAGGGCCCCAGCCTTAGTTAATTGCAGTTTTTAAACAAGAACACTGCACTTATTTGATAGTTAAAGAGCTTTATCAGTAGGCTCCACGTACTTGATTTTAACTTGCAGAATAATAATAATTATATGGGAGGTATGGAAGAAAGTATGGCATTATTTGAACAACAGTTACAGTACAGCATAGTTTATTTTTATGTACAGTTGTGCTTTGAGAATTTTCTGTTAACTTCTCATCACATTTGTATCCTATGTGCTTTGCATATTACATTTTGAAATACAGTCAAAACTAAGGAGTAAAGTACCCTAGACTATATGGCATTCTAAGTCTCAAATTTGTAGTATATAGTTCAATTTTATGTAACATGTGATACTTTTCCCTTTATCATTCTGCTTATTTAAGCTTATTTGTAGAGTGGAATTATGGTTATGTAGAACTCAAAGCCCAAAGTCTGTTTAATGAATGAAGATGATAGTGATTTTCTGCTGGCAAACGTGTTCTCTCAGTGGTGTTGGTGGGTTTGCCCTAATACGTTTTCCCTAAATTCTTTTTTATTTTTATTTTATTTATCTTTATTGTTGAAAATATCACAGATGTTCCCCCTTTTTTCCCTCATTGACCCCCCTACCTGTCTCCCCACCTATCTTGCCTTTTCCCTAAATTCTTCAATAGCACATTTATAAAATGATCTGCTCAGTGGGTCAGAGTAGTCTGTAATTGTGGGACAGAACAAAAGGAGCTCACAGGGAAATCAGACTCCTCGCTTTCATTCATCAAATATTTACTGAATGCCCACTGTATATCCTGAGTATAAAACAAGACACCATTCCAGCTATGCTGGGTCCCTGGTGCTTCCAGCCAGCTGAATCTGTGCTACTCTGGCCTTACTTAGACACCGTTTGCACTTTCCAGCGGGTAAGGTGCTTCAGATTAGTTGCCTTTTAATAATGAATGTGGAAAAGAGTGGTAAACCTATTTTTCTTACTGAATTTGTCATTGTCACCATTCTGAATCGTCAGTTATTGAGGGATCTCAGCGTGTTGTTATTTTTTTGAATCTGAGTGACATATTAAGGCATGATAAAAAGGCATTAATGCAGAATTCACTAATTTAGAATTTGTAATAATTAAAACTGTAATTGGTGTCATTATCATTGAAGACAGAATTTGCAAGTTATAATACAAATGAGAGGTGAAATGCCACACATAATAGATATAGCTGAAATGATAAACTATCACATTGCACATATTTTAATATGCACATATAATAATAATATGCTACATGGATGAGAAAGTTGTGAGTTGTCTGCCTTTATCACTTGATTTTAAGCTTTCTGGGTTTTATTTTTTTCTGTAAAATGAAGATTTTGACCGGTAGGGTCTCTTAAAGTCAATTTCAACTCTAGTGTGCTTTAGTGATTCTGAATTCAACAAGGTATACTCACACAATTACTATCCCCCCAAAACACTTCATTAAACATTTGAGAAGTTTTTTTTTTTCTTTATTGATTTTAGAGAGAAAGGAAAGGAGAGGGAGAGAGAAATAGAAACATCGATGAGAGAGAACATCAATTGGCCGACTCCTGCATGCCCCCCACTGGGGATCAGGCCCACAACCTGGGCAAGTGCCCTGACCTGGAATCAAACTGGCGACCTCCTGGTGCGTGGGTCAGTGCTCAACCACTGAGCCACACCAGCCAGGCCAGTTGAGAAGTCTTGAGACTGTATCTTTTAATTTATCATTCATTATGTGACTTTTCAGAATAATTTATTCCCAGGGTTTTATATTAATGTAGTTTTATGATGTTTGAATTATATTAGGATTCAGAAAAGAAACCTGGTTTAGGTAACTAAAAGGTATAAAACAATAAAATGATTAATTAAGATGAATAAAAGCTTGGAGTTCATGTATTGTACAATATATGAATATTTTGCTTAGACCATCAAGAGGAAAACTTTCCTTATAAAGATACTTGCTAAATTAATACTTTTGATAATCTAAGTAGGCTGTTTTGGGTTCCTTCTGAAATATTTGTTTTGCCCCCTAATGGATTAGACTAAGGCTTTACCCATGTGTCGTAAGATTTATGAGTCTTCTACAAGATTGCATTGGTACTTGATAACCATGTTGTAAAAATTTGTATTGTGATAATCATTATTAAAACTCAGCCACAAATTAAAGTAGACATTTTCAATACACTGACAGTTTTTTTGCTGGTATCCGCTTATCCTTTCAAGGAATCTCTTTAGGATGCATTAAATTGCCCAGTGTGGCTCATTGTTTGGACTTGGTTGAATTTTTATCTCAAGTTGTTTTTTTCCCCCTATAGGTTAAAATTTTGTGTCACCAGTTGCTGGTCCAGGTGTGTGACCTACTCAGGCTAAAGGACTGTCACCTCTTTGGACTCAGTGTTATACAGAGTAAGTCTTATTCTCATCTCTGATGGAGTTAGCTAACTATCTCTAAGAAAATGACATTTTATACCTGAAACTTAAATTGGGTATGTTATAAAATTGTGATTCTGAAAATACCCGTAAACTGATCATCACTTTTAGTCGAGTATTTGTCTTTTAAACTTAAGTCTTATGTATTTTTCTACAAGATTTAGAATCTTAGATCATGTTTTATTATAGTTTGAACTTAAAAATTGTTTCCTCTTTAAGAGTCTGGATTTTATGTGTTTGATCTTTTCTGTTTTAATGAACCAAGCTTGATTTTTGTTTCCTTACACAGAGGGAGCAGCTGGAGCTAGTAGGAAATTAGGTTGGATGTTTTTGTAATTTAATTTGTTTTATAATTTTTGGCATGAAAAGAAATGTAGATGTAATAAAACTGACTTTCCTCTATTCAGATTCACTTGCTATTGACTATATAACAAAGTGTTCTATTAATTACTCTTATTTTCTGTTATTTTCTCCTTACCCCTTCTCTTTTCTCCAGTCAGAATGTATGACTTTAAGGTATAGGATCAGTTTCCTCTGTATACTTTATGTGGAGAAGATTTTCAAGGAAAGGATTTCTCTTCTCCTAACACCTTGTTAGTTCACGTTCCCAGGGTTTATCTGTAGCCATTTCTTATACGCTTTCTTCACATCATATTTTAAAATTTCTCTAGGCCCTGGCTGCTGTGGCTCAGGGGGTTGGAGCATCATTCTGCATGCCAAAAGGTGGCGAGTTCAATTCCCAGTCAGGGCACATGCCCACGTTGCAGGTTCTATCACCAGTCAGAACTGACCTTCTCCCTCTCGCTCCCCACCCCCAACACCTCGTCTTTCCTTCTCGTTCCCCTCTCCCTCCCTTCCCTCTCTCCCTTCCCTCCCTCTCCCTCCCTTCTCTCCCCTCTCCCTCCCTCCTCCCTCTCCCTCCCTCCCTCCCTTCCCCTCTCTCTCCCCTCTCCGTCCCTCCCCTCTCCCTCCCTCCCTCCCTTCCCTCCCCTCTCCCTTCCTCCCCTCTCCCTCCCTCCCTCCCTTCCCTCCCCTCTCCCTTCCTCCCCTCTCCCTCCCTCCCTCCCTTCCCTCCCCTCTCCCTCCCTTCCTTCCCCGCTTCCTCTCTCTCCCCCTCCCTCTTCCCCTTTTTCTCTCTAAAATCAATTTAACATTTTTCTCTAATCTTCTAGATGCCAAACACCTTTCATATCTTTACTCAGTTTTTCAAGGAGAATTTTTTGTGACATGTTTTTATATTTTATACTTGGATATGAATTATTTTCTACTACTGGAATTGGTTTAAATGTAAAGGTTTATGATACCTTGAGATCTGGTTAGGACCATAAAATGCTTAGCTCTGTCAGGTTGGAAAGTGTGTCGGGATCAACTGGTAAGCAAGGCCTTTCTCCTCCAAAACGTGAACTGTTTTCAGTCGTATTTTCAGGCGAGGTGAGAGCAGGAAACACATCAGGAACCGATGAATCAACCATTTGCTCTTCAGTTTCATCCTCTGGTAGTTAAAGCAATAAAAACACAAATGCTCAGCTCCATCCCTGGTTTGGTACATACCTCAGCCGTTCTTTCCAAAAAGGGTCGGGGAGGAAATAAGGTGCTCAGTGGATTCTGAGTAACTTTACTTGTGCTCCCTGTTCGAAGTTGATTCTTCTCACTACAACTGCAGCCAGACTGTTGATCTTTGTTGTTGAACAAGTCAGTCTAATAAAACCAGTTTACAGCTTCCTTAGGTTTCAAAATAAGGGTTTTTAAGATGTTCTTTTTAAAAGAGAGATTGTAATATGGTGACAGAATATTGGAACGGGACTCTGATGACCTGGTTCTAATTCTGGTTCTGCAACTCGCTAACTGTGTGGCTGTAGACATGTCGCTCGACTTCCTCAGTTTCAGTTTTCTCACATGCCAAATGGGAGTTGCTGTGCCATCTGCTCTGCAGGAGTGATATATGCTTGAGGATGTTTGAAGAGCGAAGCTCTGGTCAGATTGTCAGATGGCAGAGACTGTGGTACTTGAAGGCTGTGTGTGTGCTGTTATGGTGAGCAGTCTCAGTTACATTCATTGTGTTGCGTCTTCAGACGGGAGCTCAAGCCAAACACAAATCAGGTTCAGCGGGAAGGTTGTCTGGTCTTGTCCATTTCTTGTTTAATCAGTAACACATGAGAGATGGGAGATGGTGTTAATCGATCTGATACGTGGATTTAAGAGCTATGTCTTTCTTTCTCTGGGACCTTTTTCTTATCCCTTTCATTCACAGTGGTTGATTTAGTATTGTCATTTGTAGACCAAGAGTGGCTTTACCCTTCCTATTCTCTTAGGATGCTTTTCCAGTTGAACCCAGCATTCAGTCAGGAGTGACAGTGTGGTTAAGTATGTTATCCTTGGAATAGCCGAGGGGACACACTTCCCTTCCAGATTGAGTACATTTCCATGTAGTTTCCTGTGAGCCCTCAGTGAGGGTTAGAGAAAAAGGAATTAGGTTGGTTGTTTTGTTTTTTTGTGTTTTTTTTTTAAAGCATTAAAAACTTTTGACAGGATAGGAATGCTCAAGTATTGTCTTGTGAAATAAATTTCTCCTAAAAGATTTTCTTTGGGATGTCTGAAATATTTTTATATTTTTTACTAGCTTGTTTTCACATATTTAGATCATTTTTACATGGGTTTTTAGCAGTCTTTCTGTTCTTCTTGAAGAAATATTTTGGCATTCCTTCTTGTTTTGCATAAGATTCTTTTCCTCTTCCCACAAGATCACTCCCGAAGGCAGCATGAGTAATGGTTTATCACTTTGTCGTGCTGTGTTTTACGTGGAGAACACTTGAAGACTGTTCTTCACAGAGTGTGGGTCAGCCTCCTCACTTGAAAATGTCTGATTAGCATCAGTGTTATCTAATATCTTATATAGTTGAGATGGTGTTTCTGCACCGTTTCATTGTTTGGCACTTGTAAGAAGAGTTTTCTGTGAGGTAAACAAAAGCATGTTTGAGTAAAACCAAGGGACACCCAGGAAGCTGTAATGACCCTAGAAACTAAGTCAAAGCAGGAGTGGGAAAATAATATTTCTTCTAAATAGTACGTGTGTTAGTAGTATGAGTTCCGTATTACAAAAAGCAAAATAATTCATAAAGACCCTCGTTAGTGTCTAGCCCACAGAACTTGTGTCTTAGTATCTTGTTACTTTTTCTTGGTAGTATGTGAATTCAGAGTACATTCACAAATCTTGAGGCTTTTTTTAAAACCTGTTTTTTGGTATATTCTTTTCTTAAAAAAAAAAATCTAACCAGTTTTATCATCTTGTCTCCTTTTTTTAATGTACAGATAATGAGCACGTGTATATGGAATTGTCACAAAAGCTTTATAAGTATTGTCCAAAAGAATGGAAGAAAGAGGCCAGCAAGGTACGACAATACGAAGTCACTTGGGTGAGATTACATTTATGAGCAAAATTATTTTGATTTTTAGAAAGGTTTATTTTAGCTAGTATACATTAAAAATACTGTAAACAACATTTTATACAGTAGAGAATGGGAAAGGAAAATGAATTTCGAAAGTTCTAAAATGTCACATTAATGAAGTATTAATAGCTTATAGCATATAACTAGATTTTGGATATCTGTTTAAATAATGTTGAATAATAACTTTTCAGTAATCATGGGGTAATGCTTCAAAATAAAAAAAATATGTGTTGCTCTTTAGAGGCTATGATAGTTGTCAAACTGCTGTTCTAAATATTATTAGCAGTTTTTGAATCTACTTTTACTATCCTTATGTTTGATACTTTGTTATTTGTTGTGCTGGGGCCTTTCTTTAGTAAACATCAGTCCCGTTTACATGAGAGGATCACTCAGAAGGGATTTATCTAGTGTTTTCAGGATCATCCTCGTAAGTAAGGAATAAATCCCCAGTGTCTAATCCTAGATCCTCCAATTTGTATTTAAGAATTCTTGGAATAAACTGGAAGGCTACTTCAAAGCGAACTACAAAGTAAGCAGCATGGATGTCTAAATAAACAAACAGCATATTAGAATTTGGTATGTGGAATGTCAGGAACAAGAGAACATTTGTAATGAGGAGCAAATGGTCACCACAGGGGACAGAGCTGAGAAAGGAGCTGTATCTCAGCTAGAAATTTCCACTGGCATTTATTTTTATCTTCCCTTATGTTGTCATTGGCATTACAGTGAGTGAGTATCAGATGCAGTGATGATGCTTTATAACTTCCTGGTTTTGCATGAATCTGGTGTCCATATGGGACAGCTGTCTACTGGCTGCAAGGCCACACGCTAGAAGTAGATAAAACCTCTCAGTGTTTAAAAAGTGTCTTGTAAATAATGGTATTTTACTACTTTTGAAATCCATTGTTGAAGTCACTAAAATAGCTGATTTTAATGTGTCTTTGTTTTAGGGTATTGACCAATTTGGACCTCCTATGATCATCCACTTCCGTGTGCAGTACTATGTGGAAAACGGCAGACTGATCAGGTATGAGGACAGGGAGAGATTCTAAAACTTTATTTCCCATAGCTCTCATCTTCTAACATAAATAAACCAACTGAAGTACTTATAACCAAAAGAAGAACTTGCGTTTGTCTGCACCTGCCAGACTATAAATTCTGTAAGAGCAGGGATTTTAAAAAATTTTTAAAAATCTTTGTGCACGTGCATGTATCCTCAGATCCTACGACAGAGATACAGTATGCACTCAATAAATACTTATTAAATGAATGAATGATCATGTTAGGCTCTCAGTGAACATGTTAGCGATATCACTGGTTCACATTTTCTGTATTCCACATTTTCAATTACAAATCAAGTACTGAAAAGTTACTTCATTTAAGAAGGAACTAGCACTTTTGTGAAGCGTAGAGAAATTGATGAAAGGATTATGTATTATTTAGTTGGGGGGTGGGGCCGCAGCAAGAACTCTCTCCTATAAAAACGCATCAGTGTTTACACAGCCTGGTTTTCTTTTCACTTTGGGGGGTCTTGCTTCTGTTCTTGGCATTAGCTTTAAAGCTAAGATTACGCCCAATAGAGCCTTCCTGTGAGGATCTTAGATGCCATTTGGCAAGGGCAGGTAACTGACTCTTTTTCTGGAGGTGGCTGCATGAACCTCTGCTCACAATACAAACTCCGAATTCACTGTTTCAGAAGCAAGTTTATTATTTGCATAGGAGGGTTCAGTGCAGAAAACTTTCAGAGGTGATTTTGTTGGCTGGTAAAAAACGCTAGAAATGTGAACTCCGTGTTTTACTTATTTACTGTTAAACTTTGAGAACCCCCCTGTAGGAGACAAAGATACATTTGCCTAGCAGTTACACGTGAGAGTTGCTCTTTATATTTATTTCACCGCCGCATGCGCATTAAAAAGTAAAATATATTAGCCCATAAAGATTTTTTTTAAAGGCTGAGAAACTTTTTAGTTATTCCCAGTTTATATAAAATTTTTACTCATTTTACCTACTAAGTATGGAATGCACTGGAAAGAAAGAAAATATATTATTTAGCCACTAATTAACTCCCTGGGGCTAATGAAGGCTTAATTTATGCCTCTACTTCTGCCCCTTCCTTTAGGATGAACTAGTCCAAACACTGTGGTCAGCATTATAAAAAGAAGTGCTCTGCAAAGAACTCTGTGACAAGGGGAAAAAAATTACATACATGCTTTATTTTTATTTTATTTTTAAAAGCTGTATTTTTAAACCCTTCATACTTAAACACAATCTTGGTTAAAATAAACGCATATGTTTTTATCATCAGCTAATGAGCTATGAATCTCAGGTAAACATTCAACCTAAAATAATAGGGAGGCAAATAAGCTCATTAAATATACACATACATTTTTCTCTCGTATTTGGCTTTGATCACAGAGGCGTCCTATATGCCTGTGACCTCCCTTTGGAGCTTGACCATGTTTTTCCCAGTCAGCACTTCTTACTCAACATGTTTAATGGGGACTGTATTTCTGACCTCATCGGATTGTAATGAGTGCACTGTTAGTATTTCCATTTTTGAGGAGTATCATGATTGTCATAACATGTGCCTATTAAAACATACCCATAAAGTAACATCCACTTAGTGAAAAAAAAAAAAAGATTTAAGGGAAGCATTTTTCAGTTCATTCATTCTGAGAGGAAAAAAATAACACCATTTGTAGTTAAATTTTTTTCTAGAGTCTCATAAACAGAAGCATTTTAAAAGGGCCTTAGAGTATTTGTAATGTGCTCAACTGAAAAACAAAAAAGAACAGGAAAGCATTAAAGCCAACATTGTCCCCTCAAATGTGTCCTTATTTATGTTATGCGCGCAGCATTATTGGAACAAAATTATTTACCACAACAAATGCCTAGGCCTCTATGGTCATACTTAGTCAATGAAATATTTACCACATTAGTGGAAGGATTCAGACCTTTTTTCCAGTCTGTAAATGAATCGAATGTTACGGGTCTTAGGACATGTTATTTTTGCGGTCCGGGCAGTCTGGCTCAGAATTCAGCGAGGCGGCGATCAGGTGTCCCAACGACCTCTCCTTTTCAGTGAGTGGGGAGGGAGCAGAAACAGAAGAGCCCTTGTCAGCAAGGATAGCAGGATCGGGGTTCTGTTTACATGCCATTGGATTGTATCATCAAAATGTGAGTTCTGTTTTCTCTTATTTTCCTAGTGACAGAGCAGCACGATACTATTATTACTGGCACCTGAGAAAACAAGTTCTGCACTCGCAGTGTGTGCTCCGCGAGGAGGCCTACTTCCTGCTGGCAGCCTTCGCCCTGCAGGCTGACCTTGGGAACTTCAAAAGGAACAAGCACTATGGAAAGTACTTTGAGCCGGAGGCTTACTTCCCTTCTTGGGTAGGCACTGTTTTCAAATCCTAAAGTGTCCTCGCTAATACGTTTCTAGTTCAATGTATGCTACTCATTTTGTGTCAAGAAAGGGGAACCCAGATGTTTGGTGGCCAGTGAAATCCTTCATGATGCCCAATTATAAATGTAATATTTGGGAGCATGGTACGTGATCCCTTGATGTACTTGGTTGGCTTATAGTTAATGGCCAAGAAGATTGCTCTCCATGCCAAATATGGTGGAACTTGGGATTTGCCAGCCTTCTTTTGGCATTTACATAGCCTTGATCTTTTTATTGACTCTTAATTTGAGCAGCATTTTCTCCTTCCCAATCAACTCCATTGTAAGTTGAAAATATTGTTGAGATGCATTCAATACACCTAACCTACCTAACCATCATAGCTTAGCTTAGCCTGCCTTAAATGTGCTCAGAACACTTACATTTGCCTATAGTTAGGCAAAATCATCCAGCACACAGCCTGTTTTATAATAAAGTGTTGAATATCTCGTAATTTATTGAATACTATGCTGAAAGAGAAAAACAGAATAGTGGTTTGGGTACCCGACATTAGCAGAGCCGACAGCCTGAGCACAGCCTGAAGCATGTTCGAAGCACTGAACTAAAGCAAAAATGCAATAGTGGATGCCGAGTGTCTGTTGTTGACCCTCGTTGACCCTGTGGCTCACGGCCGCTACCCAGCATCACGGACAGTCCCGAACAGCACATGGCTAGCCCAGGAAAAAATCACTCAAAATTCAAAGTATGGTTCCTGCTGAATGCATATTACTTTCACACCATAGTCATAAAATCATAAATTGAACCATTCTGGAAGTCGGGGACCCTGTGTGCAAGTGAGCTCCTTGCTCTGACCGTCATCTCCCCACTACGCAAGAAAATGTGGGTTATTCCAACATGAACTGTCATAACTGTCCTTTCTCCACCCCACCCCATCTGCTCCTGTTCCCGCCCTCCCCCCCGGTCTCTGCTGTAACTTCTCTCTCTGCTTTACCTTGAGCCTCTGCTCAAACTCACTCTCCCTCAGTCAGGACAGGCGTGGACGTTTGGTTCACACCACCCCATCCTCGGGAAAGAAGGAAGGCAAAGAAAGGCTGTCTCCCTCATCGTCCCTTCTCAGTAAAGCTTCTTGAAAAAGTGACTTGTATTTGACTGTCTGACTTCTTTACTTCCCACGTGTGCTTCTCAACCCCTTCCGTCTGCCTTCTTTCCCCGCCACTCCACTCGAGAGCTGTCCCTGAGGCCACCAGTGACCTTTAAACTGCCACCTCAAGTGAACACTTTTCACTTCCTGAATGTCTCAGCTGCACCTGACACCTAACCCCTCCCAATCTTGGGAGATTTTGTCCAACTTAATGCTTTTTTCTTTTTTAATTCTTTTAAATCCTCACCTGAGGATATCTTTCCATTGACTTTTAGATAGACTGAGGGGCAGGGAGAGAGAGAGAGACATCGATGTGACATCGACTGGTTGCCTCCCACACGACCCCAACCAGGGCTGGGCATCGAACCGCAACTGAGGTACGTGCCCTTGACCGAAACTGAACCCATGACTCTCTGGTCCGAGGGCGGACGCGCTAACCACTGAGCAACCAGCCAGGGCTGAATGCTTTTAATAACCACTTCTCCCCTTTGTCCATGAGGCATCTTAAATTCAAAATATACCCTGTCAGACTCACCTTCTTCCCACCACCTCAGGTCCATGTATTCCTGCCTCTGTGTTCTAGTCTCAGCGAGTGGCACTGCCCTACCCAGCCACCAGAACCTTGAGAGTCAGACCTCTCCCTTCATCACCCTTCTTTCTCCCTGTCCCATCCAGTCAACCAGAACAGCCTCTACATAAACACTTGATAACCCATCGCCCAGCTTAAGAAATAAAATTCCTGCCCGGCCGGTGTGGCTCAGTGGTTGAGCGTCGACCCCTGCACCAAGAGGTCGCTGGTTCGGTTCGCGGTCAGGGCACATGCCTGGTCCCCAGTGGGGGGCATGCAGGAGGCGGCCAATCGATGTTCTGTGTTCTATGTTTCTAACTCTCCTTCTCCCTTCCTCTCTCTCTTTAATCAATAAAAAAAAAAAAATTTTTTTTAAAGAAGTAAAATTCCCTTGTTTTTGTTAACTTCCTGAATGTCTGTTGCCTTCCTTCCCCATCATTGTTTCTCCCACCTCCCGGGTTCCAGCTCTCAGCAGCACTACCGTGGAGGTTTGATTTTGCTCCTGATTGAAACCTCCACGGGCTCCTCTCACCTGCAGAGTGAAGTCTAGGCGCCCAGACGTGACTGAAGATCTTTGCAGGAAGCGGCTCCTGCCAGCCTTTGCGGTTCCTTTCTGACTGTCCTGCACCTTGATTTCCGTGCTGAACATCGGCCATTAATTCCTGTTTCCACACCGTGGTGGTTCACATTCCGACCTTTCTTCTTCCAGTTCTGTTAGCCTGTGAAAACCTGTCCCTGTTGCACCCAAGTCCTGCTTATCTTCCAGGGCTCAGCTCAGAGACAGTCACCTCTGGGCCGACTGTCCAGGTGCCCAGCACCCCTCCTCAGGGCTCAACAAGGCCCCGGATGGGTGTGTTTTATTCTTATTTTCAAATAATCTGTTTATTTTATGCACCCCTCCCCCCCTTAAACTTAGTGTTTCTTAGTGTGTCCTAAAGGACAGGCATAAACTTCACCTTTTCTGTTTCCTTGGCACTTTACATTAAGGTGCTCAATGCAAGTTTTTGTTGACTGACTGACAGTGCTTCAGTTGTTGGAAGAGAAACCACAAAAGGTGTCAAGCTTTTACATATCAATGTCTGTTGGGACAAAATTAGCCTATATTTACGTTCCCTAGTTGTTATCAGGTACTCCCTGAACCATGGTCCTTTAAAATTTTTTTAAATATATTTTTACTGATTTTTTTGAGAGAGAGAGAGGAAGGGAGAGACAAACATCGATGAGAGAGAGAAACATCGATCAGTTGCCTCCTGCACGTCCCCTACTGGGGATCAAGCCTGCAACCTGGGCATGTGCCCTGACCAGGAATCGAACTGGGACCTCTCGGTGCGTGGGTCGACGCTCAACCCCTGGGCCACACCGGCCGGGCTGAACCTTGGTCCTTTAAGTCAGAGCTTCCCTCAGTGGCATCCAGAGAGCCCAGTGCCAGTGTCCTCAACCCTCGGGATCCCAAAACCACTATTTCAGTGCCCTCACAATTATCATTTTCTATGTGTTCTTTGACCTGAAAAAGGTTGACAAGCACTGGTTTAGATGATCTCCGTGTAAACGGCATTTAGAAAGAAAAATCTATAATTTAAGTTCTCAGCAAAACTTGAAAATTGGCCAGTAAGTTATCGTGTTTAGTCCAATAGAAAGAAACAAAATGTCGGTATCTATGAAAACATTTTAAAACTAAAAATTCTCTAATTTTTTTATTTTGGTGATTTTAAACATTACTTTTGTTTACTTTGCATAAATCTTTTTACATTTTATAATCCTTATGTCACCTTGAACCAACACCGTGATCGTAGCCTGCAGCATCTGGATACAATGTATTTTTTACATCTAAAAGTCCAGGCTATTGTCTAATGAAAACATAAGCCACAATGAATTACGATGAATGGATGAAAGAAATTGTTTTCTCATAAGTATTCACATAGATTGTTCATATCAGCCTCTTATGCAAAAACCACACGTTTCAGAGAATTTCTCAGTTCCCCTGCCTGTATTGGATGAACATTTAGAACCTCCCACTCTGGCTTTGATTTTAGAAGAGTTAACTAGGATCCATAACCTGAAGATGTGCTGACAGGAGATGTATTTCATAGTACCAATAATTTTGCAAATATAAGCAATGATGTGTACAGACTATTACAGGTTTGTGTGGTTTTGTTTTTGGTTTGGGTTGTTTTGTTTGTTCTTGGTGAGTTTAAAGCTAAGAGAACATATTTTTCCCATTTTTTGTGATTGTCCTTAAATATTCAGTACTACAGCTAAATTGACTTTGTCACTTTTAATATTAGCTGATTCCGGCTGGTAACATATCAATGGTGGAAACTGTAAAAGTGGGCATTTTCTAACGGACATGAACTAGTTTATTTGGCTTATTTAGGTCCTGATCCTTTCGTCATTTGCAGGAGAGAGTACTCACGTCCCTCCGACAAATGTTGCATTGCACACCCATTGTTTTCCAACAGGTTGTTTCTAAGAGGGGGAAGGACTACATCCTGAAGCACATTCCAAACATGCACAAAGATCAGTTTGCACTGACTGCTTCCGAGGCTCATCTTAAATATATCAAAGAGGCCGTCCGACTGGATGATGTCGCCGTTCACTACTACAGATTGTATAAGGTACAAAACCACGGCGCGCCTGCAGCTTCCGAGAAAGTACTCCTCTCCATCACAAGAAGCTTTTATTTAAACTTCTCATTTCACCTTTTAATGGGCTTTTATTTATTTTTATCCTCACTCGAGGATATTTTTCCATTTTTTGTACAGATAGAGCGGGAGGGAGAGAGAGGAAGAGAGAGAGAGAGAGAAACATCGACGTGAAGGGACACATCGAGTGGCTGCCACCCGCACGACCAACCAGGGCCGGGGACAAACTGCAGTCGAAGTACGTGCCCTTAGCGGGAACCGAACCCGGGTCTCTCCGGACCGCAGGCCAACGCTCTAACCACTGAGAAAAACTGGCCAGGGCTTAATGGGCTTTTAAATGAGTTTCATGGGACCTGCTGTTTGTCGCTGTCAGTCACTCTTGGAGTTGGTGATGCTCTTCCTCGGGCTTGGGAGCAGGATGGGGGCTTTAATGGTTCTCATGGTGAGATAACACACGGCTGCACATTGTGAATCTGGCTTTTCAGTGACAAGAAATAGATCTCTCCCTCCTTCCCAAATCTGCGTTTCTGTCTTGGGGAGTAACATTGGCAACTTCTTCGATCAGCAATTTTTAGTATTCCTCAAAGGGAAGTCATACCTGCGTCGTGTCCATGAATAAGAACATCACCACAACGGCTAGTGTTTACTAAGTTCTATGTTCATGAGGCACACTTGATGTATTATTATTTATTTATTTTAATCCTCACCCAAGGATATTTTTTTTACATTAACCTTCAGATAGAACTGGAGAGAGACAGGGAGGAAGAGAGAGAGAGAAACATCGATGTGAGAGAGACACATCTATTGGCTGCCACCCACACAACCCCAACCGGGCTGGGGACAAACCACAACCGAGGTACGTGCCCTTGGCTGGAATCGAACCTGTGGCTCTTTGGTCCGAGGGCAACGCTCTTACCGCTGAGCCAAACCGGCCAAGACCGGGCACATTTTATATTTATCCCTTTTTAGAAAATCCTCACAACTCTGTAAGATAGGAACTATAATCTTCATTATACAGACGAGGAAACAGACTGAAGACTGCAAAAGCAGTAGGTGGCAGAGCCAGGATTCAGCCCAGCTCCACTTGAAGACAGAGCCCACGCGCTTCCCCCGCCGAACTCTGCCCTCCCCCACTCCCTGATGTTGGTTACTCTCTTGTGTCCCGTGTCTCCCTAGCCTCATTTTTTTTCAGAGCTCAGAGGTCACACACCCAAATAACAATTGTGGCCAGGCTCTGCGAGAATCACTCACTGCTGTTTATCATCTTCTCTCTTCTCCTCCTCTCTCCTGCTCCCCACTCTTCTCTCTATTTCACAAGTGTCACGTCCTTGGCAGGAGCTCCTGAGTCCCCACTTACAGATTCAGAGGTCTATCTCAAACCCAATGGGATCAAGCGGTTCAGAGTGTGGCCTGTTGGGCCTAACTTCTGGAATTGACTCCCAGCTTCACCTCTTACCATGTGACAGAAGGCAAGTCACTGACCCTCTCTGCTGCAGCTTCCCCGTAGTTAAATGGGATGGTAATACAGCTACCTCTGAGGTTCACTGAGGACAAAGAGTAATGGATGAAAAGTGCTACAAGGAGTTACCATTGCCATTGTTATTAGGCTTGTTATCGCTGCTGTGCCCTTTGTGGTAAGATTAGCATAACTAGACCTTTGGAGACTGAGCTGTAGTTTGGATATACTGCTGGTAATCGTCCTGCCTGGTTTAGGAAATTTAATAAGGGACCAAAGAAAGGCATTTTTTCTCTCTTCCATGTCCAAGAGATGCATTGTTAATGCCCTGTCATCTTTGAAAGGCATGCTTGAGATCCATAAAATCTCTTTGGCTAAATTCCTAAAGAACTGAGTTGGTATTTTTTTTTCCTTAAGAAATTTTATTGGTGACTCTAAATTTATAGGAGAAAATGCAAGTAAATGACATTTTTTACAACCAGTTTATAATTTTAAAATGTGTGAGACGTATTAATGATGCATGGAAAAGAGATGGCTTTGGAATCAGATATCAGTTAGGGACCTTGCATCACCACTGATGAGTACTGGGACCCTAAGGAAATATGGCCATAACCCTGGGCCATCTGTTAAGTGGGAATGATTATGCATTTCCAAGGTTGGGGGAATTCTGTGAGATAGTGAATAACCAGGGGGACTGCCTGGTACATTAGTGATTCTTATTTGATAAGGAAATTTAGTATTTTAAAATATCCTGTTGGCCCCGGCCAGGTGTAGCTCAGTAGGTTAGAGCATTGTCCCGGTATGTCAAAGTTATGGGTTTGATCCCCAGTCAGGGCACATACAAAAGTCAACCCATAAAGGTAAGTGGGACAACAAATTGATGTTTCTCCTTACCCTCTCTCTAAAAAATCAATTTTAAGATCCTGTTAAGAATGAGTCATTGAGTAAAGTAGATATCCTCAGTTTATCTTTTGTGTAAAAATTAATCTTTCAAATTTACTTGAAGTGCGCTACTTCTACATGACATGGAAAACAACTTTTCTTAAAATGAGATAGTTAGTAATGTAACTGAATGAAGTAGGAACATAGATGAGGCTGCCTCACGGCAGAGTGTTCATTCTTTGGAGATGTCAGGTGATGGCACTGAAATGGCTGCACTGAAGGCCTGGTTACAAAATGGAAACAAGGTAGATGGGAGACAGGAACATCCCTAAAACACAACAAATCTGCGCCCTTTTCTCAGCACTGCTCACCTCACACGTGCACAGCCTGCATTTCCATGCGCACGGTCTTATTTCCGGAAGCATCAGAACAGCCTGGAAAGGGGAATTGGCCTCGACTCATAGTGATGGATTGGCCTCTCTTGCTGCATGTGCCTGTCTTGATATAAAAAAATATTTGTTGGAAGAAACAGCCCAAAGAGTAAAAACAGGCTATGGTCTTCTCTTTTCTGTGCCTGGTGAGGATGCATTTTCAAAAAATATTTCTTACCACGTTCATGAGAAAACTGGTTGTAAATGTAAGAAAGATCTGTGTATATTTATTGTTTTTACTGAGAAATCTCATGATGAAAGTTTAGTTACTTAGTAAATTTATGTCTCTTATTTTAAACTTTATATTTTATATTCACTATTACAGGTGAGCACTTAAAAGATGCCAAATTTGAGTACATTCTTTTTTTTTTAATCCTCATCCAAGGACATTTTTCCATTTCTTGTACAGACAGAGTGGGAGGGAGAGAGAGGAAGAGAGAGAGAGGGAAACATCGATGTGAAAGGGACACATCGAGTGGTTCCCACCCGCACGACCAACCAGGGCCGGGGACAAACTGCAACCGAGGTACATGCCCTTAGCGGGAACCGAACCCGGCCTCTCCGGACCGCAGGCCGACGCTCTAACCGCTGAGCCAAACCGGCCAGGACAGTACATTCTTAATTGTAGAATATTTTTTCCATATGTAGTTGTACTTAATTTTTTACAGTTTATGGTTTAGCTGGTAGAATGTATATCGTCTTGGCAAGGAACAATTGAACATTTTTAAAATAAGTACTTTTTAAAAAAAACTAACTGAAAATAAAACTTTTACAGCTTTATTATCTGCCCTTATGAGAGACCCTTAAATATTTAGGCTTGCCTCTAATTTTAGCTTCTGAGCTAGGAGATTTACCCAGTTTAAATCATATAAAGTCTGGTGCATCTCAGAACTTACCTATGATATTAGAGTCAAGTTTCTCACATCTGAGAAAAGGTTAAGTATAAGATAGAAGGTTAAAAAATGATGCAAAGTCTGCAAAACTAATCTTCTTTACTGGAGTTCTCAAGAACATAAGTATTTAGTACAGTGGTTCTCAACCCTCCTAATGCCGCGACCCTTTAATACAGTGTCTCATGTTGTGGTGACCCATCCCCAACCATAAAATTATTTTTGTTGCTACTTCATAACTGTAATTTTGCTGCTGTTATGAATCGCCTTCGGAAATATGTGTTTTCCGATGGTCTTAGGCGACCCCTGTGAAAGGGTTGTTCGACCCCCGAAGGGGTTGTGCCCCATAGGTTGAGAACCGCTGATTTAGAATGTTGTCAGATATGAAAGTATATCTAAATAGTGAAAACACTAATGCTTTTAAATCTCAAGGATTTAAATATGTCGAATATATTATCGTTGATTTACCATGTGCTTATAATTTTATTTTTTTAATATATATATATATTTTTAGGGAGAGGATGGGAGAAGGAGGCAAAGAGAGAGAGAGAGAGAAACATTGATGTGAGAGAAAAACATCAATCATTTGCCTCCCGCATGCACCCTGACCAGGAATCAGACTGGTAGCCTTTTGGTGCATGGGCTGACCCTTAACCTACTGAGCCACACTGGTCAGGGCTGCTTATGATTTTCTTAAAGCTTATAGAAAACTAGGAGTGCAAACATGAGCAAAGTTATTTTAAGTCAAAACTTTCCAGTTCATGCCCAGCTGGTGTGGCTCAGTGGTTGAGCGCCGACCCACGCACCAAGAGGACGCCGATTTGATTCCCGGTCAGGGCACATGCCCAGGTTGTGGGCCCGATCCCCAGTGGGGGGCATGCAAGAGGTGGCCAATCGATGTTCTCTCATTGATATCTCTGTCTCTCTCTCCCTGTCTCTAAACTCAATAAAGAAAAAATATTTAAAAAAAAAATAAAAAACTGCCCTGGCCGGTTTGGCTCAGCGGTTAGAGCGTCGGCCTGCGGTCCGGAGAGACCCGGGTTCGGTTCCCGCTAAGGGCACGTACCTCGGTTGCAGTTTGTCCCCGGCCCTGGTCGGTTGTGCGGGTGGCAGCCACTCGATGTGTCCCTTCACATCGATGTTTCTCTCTCTCTGTTCCTCTCTCTCCCTCCCACTCTACCTGAACAAAAAATGGAAAAATGTCCTCGGGTGAGGATTAAAAAAAATTAAAAAAAATAAAAAATAAAAAAACAAAAAACTTTCCAATTCTGAAATTCTCTTTCTCTTTCTTTTGTCTGGTGCTGAATTATCCATTGTAGAAGAAAAATATATTTTGTCATAAAATTTTATTCCTACAGGATAAAAGGGAAATTGAAGCTTCTCTGACTCTTGGACTGACCATGAGAGGAATACAGATTTTCCAGGTCAGTAAATGAGAGAAATAGGAGTCCAATAGTATCTACTCTGCTTCCCACTGTCAGTGTGCCTGTGCGGTCCTGTGGCAGGTTCGCCAGTGCATCGCGGACTGGTCATTACTGCCTCTTGTCGAGCACAGGTGTGAATGATGTGGGTAGAGGAAGTGATGTATCTTAAACCTTGTAGTCACGAGTCCTCGAGAACAGACAACAAAAAGCCAAAGATTGACTGATGTTCATCACTAATAGATCATTAATATTGATACCTTTGTGTGTATGTGTCAATGTGTCAAATACACTCTTTTATCCTCTAGAGCATGTATAACTGTGTAAAGATGACATATGAATACAGTGCCCGAGCAGACATTTTAATTGCCAGTTCACAAAGCTTGTCCCTTGAATTAGTGGGTAGCGTGGTGCTATGCTGTAGCTGTCAACAAGGGGAGAACACGCCTCTTTCTGGGAGACCTAAAAGAATGTAAGGATATCTAAACTTTGATGGAGGCACATTTTCAATTATGAAAGTCTGAGTACCTTATCTCATCTCTCTCTTTTTTTTTTTGATCCTCATCCGAGGATATTTTTCCATTGATTTTTAGATAGAGTGGAAGGGAGGGAGGGAGGGAGAAAGAGAAACAAACATCAATGTGAGAGAGAGACATCCATTGGTTGCCTCCCAAAGGACCCTGACTGAGGCTGGGGATCTAACCTGCAACCCAGGTATGTGTCCTTGACCAGGAATCAAACCCAAGACCTTAGGTCCATGGGCAGAAGCTCTTACTGGCTAGGACCCTTATCCCTTCTCTTGAATGCCTGAGTCCTTTGGATTTTTAATTTAAATTGAGGGATAGTACAAAAAAGGAAGATTGCCTTAAAAAGGCCAGTCCATGCAGTCACTGCAGAGCCAGAAGCTACAGAGTGTATCACCGATCTGTTAATTACTGTCTGCGCATCTCCAGAGGGTTGAGGACCTCTTTCAGATTCTAATTAATGCATTTTAGTTTTCTGGGAGATAAATTAGAGCCATGTCAGTGTCTGTCAGGTTCATCAGTAATTCTATATGCATTACAATTCTTTCCACAGAATGTAGATGAAGAGAAACAATTACTTTATGATTTCCCCTGGACAAATGTTGGAAAGTTGGTGTTTGTGGTAAGTTTAAAATAACTGACTAGAATAAATTACTCACTTGTTTTTTGTTTGTTTGTTTCTTGTTTTTTAAAACAATATCGTCTCAGACACAAAAGTTGATATTTTTTAAGTTGACGATGAAGATAATTAGCTTTCTTATATTCTTATGCATGTTCTATAATCCTTGTCACTCATCAGTAGTGAATCTAAAATTAAAGAATCTTATAGCAAAATAAATTACTAATTTATTTTGTATGCCTGGTCTTCACCACACTACCCTAAGTTATTCTACTTGCAGAAGAAATGTAGTGAGAAAAGTACAAGATGAGTCCATCAAATAGAATTATTTCAGAAGCGTACAGCAGAGGAATTAGGAAACAGTCATAATCACAGGACGAGTTACTCTTCGTGTGGGGGCCGGCCAGCACTTCTGGAAGTTACTTCTTTAGAGCAAAGAATAAAGAGTGATATAAAAAGATGTTTCTATTAATATCTGACTCTGAAACGCATCATTATAAAGAACAGTCTAGAGTCCTCAACAGGAAAAATACTTTTATTTTTAGAATATTGAGAGTGGTACACTTTTTTTTTTTTTTGGTTAGAGCAAATTTATGATTTTTCCAGCTGTTTCTTTATTTTGCCAGCTATATCCAATTTTTAGTAGGGTTCAAAGAATTACAGTTAATAATGTGACTGTCTAGTAGTCATTAAAATCCATGATTTTCTTTGTTCAGAAACTATTTAAAAAATGCACGAAGAAAGGAGGCAGGCCAGGGTTTGTCCGCTCGGCCTCTCTCCCGTACGGAAGATGGCCTACATAAATAAAGGGCTGTATTGCCAAAGAGCATTGGGCACTGACTCCATACTGCCCTGTGACTCAAAAGACCTGTTCCTGGCTTTACATTACTCTAATGACTTGGGCACTGTTCAATCTGATTTCACCTGACTCATGCCTTACCTGGGGCCTGCCCGCCTTCTCCTCAATGGCTCTCTTTCGTTCTAGCTCTCTGTGAAAGGATCTGAGCTGTTTGAAAAGGGGCAAAGTGTTACCGTGTGTGCCCCTTTCGTGTCCCGAATTAAGTAGTAATAAAATGCATTTATAAAATTGAGTGTTTGAAGGGTCCTGGACTCAGTGGGTCCTGGATCTAGTTTTGCATCAGACTCGTCTGAGGAGCTCGTTGGAGATACAGACGTTTGTGCCTCGTCTTTCTCTCCTGGAGGGTTTTGATTCCGTGGCTGAGGGCTGGAGAGGAGGAATCCGCTTTGACGGACTTCTCAGATGAGACTCCTTGCAGCCAGCCCATCCCTGCCTAACTGTGGGACTTTGAGCGAATTACTTAGCCTTTCTGTGCCTTAGTTTCTTCATTTCAAACTGAGGATACTTGGCTCTCCCCCAAAGACTAATTGTGAGGATTAATGAGTTCACATCCGCCTAGTGCTCACTGAGTTATTACCATGCTAGCATTGGGATCCACTGGTGGTTTCTTTCAAAGGTCTAGAGGTGAAAAATTCCATCCCTGTCTGAATTACACAAACCCTCTTGCTTTGTACCAGCTTCAAGCTAGAATATGCCTCCTCTTTGCGTCCCTTCTCCGCTCTGGCTGAGAATCATAGCATCTGGAATACTCCTTTTCGTGGTTCTGCTGCCTTCTTCATTATTAGGAAAGTGAAAGAAATTCACAACTTCCTATAACTGTAAGGATTTCTGCCAGACTCGCCCTCGACTTCGATTTAAAGAATGCGATTTCTTAGATCTCCTTTCACTGATTTCTCTTTCTCCTTCCTGTCCTGTCCCTCCCACACTCCCTCCAGCTTCCAGTTCCCCCTTTTATCCAGCTAGAGAAATTTCATATTTTTTCTGATCTCTAAATAGGTATCCAGTATTTTTGACTATCGTAATTCTGTTTATTTCCTTCCCAGAATTTATCATAAGCTCTAATTATCTTATGTGTTAATTTACCATCTGTCCCACCAGAATGTATCTCCATGAGGGTGGGGACCTTGTCTGTCCTATTCATGGTTCTTTCCTCAGTGTCTGTCTAGCACAGGGTTTGGTACATGCATGTGTTTCACAAATACTTGAATGCATTCCGCTTCCGGGGTTTGTTTGCTGAGTTTGGGGTTGGGATTGCATTGAGGGCACTGGCACGACGGCCCTTCTCCTCTCCGTTTTACAAATGGCCTGACCGACCAGAGCAAGCACAGGTACTTTTCAGCTGTCCGACCGCTCAGTGATTACCAGAAGGCCCTGCTAGGCACTTTCCTGAATTATGGGTAATCCTCTGCCTGGGATGTATTTGAAAGGGAACACAGTAATTTATGTCTCAGCAAATTTTGAATGAAGCTTTTGCACAGTAAATTCTCACTTTAAGTCATCAATAAATTCAGTGACTTGAAGCAAAATGACATATGATGAAACAATTTTACTACAGGCTTATTGATATAAACAAGAGTTAAGTTTCTGCAGCATCTCATCAACGTTGTAAAGAAACAGCATTACCCGAGGACCTGCTGCATATCTACTTCTGAATCTGGAGTTTTCCTTACTAAACAGAAAATGAAGGGGACCTGGGAAAATCAGAGACTTTTCTTCCCGAGTCTGATTTGTGCTTTCCCGACACAGGGTAAGAAATTTGAGATTTTGCCAGATGGCTTGCCCTCTGCCAGGAAGCTCATCTACTACACGGGGTGCCCCACGCGCTCCAGGCACCTCCTGCAGCTCCTGAGCGACAGCCATCGCCTCTACATGAACCTGCAGCCCGTCCTGCGCCACATCCGGAAGCTGGAGGAGAATGAAGGTATCACCAGGGCCCCGATGGGCGAGCAAATGGCACCTTTGCCACTATGACCCCTGTTCTGTGCTGCCATGAACTGGGGCTTTAGGTTCCTGCGGGGTGGGATCTGGGGGCTCTCCAGATTTAGTGTAGCATTTCTATTTATATCTCAGCTGTGTTCCAGAAGGCAAGGGGTAGCCCCGACACCACCAGCCACCCCTGTCCCAAATAGCTGAGGTTTTCCTGTTATTTAGCTACCCCTGGGTGCCATCTCTTTAAATGATCCCATGCTTGGCTTGGAGATCCTTGCAGAAAGCCCCACATGCAGGCTCAGGCCAAGGTTTGTCTGCATCTCAAACTCCGTAGACACAGTGATCCACCTTGGTCTGGAGTCTCTCTTACTGACTGGAGGGGGGCCCCCAAGTCTGCCTTAGCAGGAATGACGAAGAAGAGAGAAATTTTTGTTTGAGGATTGTGTCAGCCAGTCCTTTGGGGGCTTGGCTGAGACACAGACAGAACAGAGCAGTCTTATTTGGGGCCTCTGAGTCCTGCGCCAAAGGGGACACATGGTGAAGAAGAGGAAGACAGGGATGGTGCCTCCGAGAAGACTTCAACCCTGTCGAGTTAAGCTCATGGGGAGCCCTCTGTCCTGAGTTATGGCACCCTGGGGTTACTCCATTTAACACTCCCATTTCTGATCCCCCAAAATATACTACTTCGCATATTTGTTTATTTTTTAATGTCTTTCATTTATTTTGCAAATTCATGTTGTACAAATTATTGGTAATTAGATTAGTCGATTTTAGGGATTTACATGATCATTAGGATGAGATTCATATCTTCGGTCCATGCCTGACCCCTCAGACCCCACCTTTCCTACAGAAACAAGGCAAATACCTATTCTTTATTAACATGCAAAAAACCTTCTAGAGGTGTGCACATCTGGTTGATATCTTTCCAAAGCTGTCTGTATCTAAATGAGACCCAGTTTGGAGATGCTGTTGTAATGTACGTAGTGATTAGGACATGAATCATCTCCCACTGTCTGCCACCTAACTGCATCTATCTTTGGAGAGAATGGGCACATTGCCAGGTGGGTTGGTTTCCTCTGCTGCCAGACTGCCACTTCTTCCCACGACGACTCACTGCATAACAGATACATTCCCGACACGAATATTAAGAAGAATTGAGACGGGAAAAAGTGCCGAGGAAACTTGCGAGAATAGGTAGGTGACAGGTACAGAGCTCAGGATTTGCCAAGTCAGCCTCTTTCCTAATGGGCGCCTGGAGAAGTTCCTTTATTCCATCAGCTCGCCACCAGCAGCATTTTAGTAAATGCTTGTTTAGGTGACTTGAGGGGGAGCTGTTCAGAGCCCAGAAGAATGAATGAACCATAGGGTGTAAGGTCAACTCCCAGGCACAGTACCAGGTGCATTTGGGGGCTTAGTGTGCGGGGCAATGAAGGAATGAAAAAGTCAGTTGAATCTTTTATTTGGGGAAGTGTACATAGATTTGAGGGGAGTATCTTTTTTTTTCCCCCCCTAAAAAAAACATAATTTTTCCTACTTAGAGATCCTCCAGGTCTGAAGAAAACCTAAAACCAAAACATTGTGCATTTCTGGGACGAGCCTTCGGCTGAGTCCAGCTACCTCACCCACACTTCAGGACTCCACCTTTTTTTTAAAGAAAGCCTTTTCTCAGCACTGGCTTAGCACAAAAGACATCACAGAAAGAATCTTATTTTTCTTAATTAAATTTAATTTAGAGTCACCTTGTCTGAAATACTGTTTTAGCATTTTGTAGTAGAAAGTGACCACAAGAATTTTTACGTAGTGTTTGGAAAGGAAGACATGCCTTTGTCAGAAAGCATTTCACCCCAGCTTTATTCAGTAGCTGGAGCTTATTGTTAGGATACATGTCCAGAGTCACATCGGCCGCATCGTATTCTACAGCAATGTGTGAAAACCTTTGTGGTCTCTGGGCTTTACAAAACACAGATGGGACATCAAAATTAAACTGAACTACAGAAAACCATCATTCAGAACCGCCTGAAATGGAGCTGAATGGAAGTCCTACAACTACGAAGTTAAAGCAGCAGCCACATCCAGACTGGTAGGAGGGGTGGAGGCGCGAGGGGCTGGTCCTACACCCACATTTGGCGGATAAAAATCAGGACACCTCGGCTGGGAAGGTCCTCCCTGAGGAGTGAGAGGTCCCCGTCCCACACCAGGTGCCCTGCTCAGGGTTCCAGTGCGAGGAAGAGAATCCCCATAACTTCTGGCTGGAAAAACAAGCAGGAACTGAGGCTGCTGGAGTCCCAGGCGTTCCACTTAAAGGGGCCACACATGAACTTACTCATACCTGCTCCCTCCAGGCTCCAGTGTGGGGGAAGCAGCTTGAAAAGCACCAGAGACCTATGGGGAAGAAGTGAGTTGTTCAGCAGTGGAGCGAGGGCTGGAGAGGCGACTTTCTCCTGGACGGACTTGCTGTGGGAGGCCCTTGTTCCTTTGGTGAGCCCTTCCCTGGGGCAGGCAGATAGGAACCATATCTGGGACTCCAGCAACCTGGCTCACACTGTTTGCCCCACCCTGGTGATTCCCTGAGGCCCTGCCCTACCCAACCTTCAGGCTCACCCAAGCTGTTTCCAAAGGCTTTACCATAGGAATGGCCTGTCTTGGATCCTGCTTTAGAGTTCCTTAAAATCTCTCAAACAAGCAGCACCTGGACTCAGTGACCCCATACCTCTCGCTAAGTGGCCCCAGGCCTGGCACCAGAAGCAGCCAGCCTTGGTTCACAACTTGGCTTTTCCTGGGCACTTCTAAGCCCAGCACAAGAAGCAGCCATCTGTGGATCACTTTGTAGCTTATGCCGGGGTGGTCCCAGGTAGAACACAGGCAGTGGCTGACCTTGCTCCAGGGCCAGCACACCCAGTGGACAGCTTCTGACCACATCGAAACACCACCACCCAACCACCTCCGCAAGTGACACACTCAAGGAATGGACTCAGTGGGTACCAGAGCCCTGCTGAAGTAAGTCTTGCTCTGTGTGGTGGGCCCCTACACAGCTGATCCTCCAAGGAAGTCAGAGGCCAGTGGTCAGTGGGCACAGCCAGTCCTTGCAGCTGATCAGCCTGAGTAAATCCCTCCCACTGACAGGCCAACAGCAATCAAGACTCGATTACAACAGACAGGTGTACAGTCCACATGAGGGGTGCACCTCAAGGGCCCAGCTGGGGTGATCAAGGAGGCTGTGCCACTGGATCCTACAGGACACCTACAACAATAAGCCACCCTCCGAAGCCTAGGAGACATAGCAACTCTACCTAATACATAGAAACAATTATAGAGAAGCAGCTAAAATGAGAGACAAAGAAACATGTTCCAAGTGAAAGAAAAGAACAAAATTCCAGGAAGAGAACTAAACAAAATGGAAATAAGCAGTCAGTCAGATGCAAAGTTCAAAATGCTGGTTATAACCATCAAAATGGAAAGGCAACCCACTGTATGGGAGAACATCATTGCCAAGGATACATCAGATAAGGGGTTAATTTCCAAAATATATAGAGTACTCATACAACTCATCAAAAGGAAGACAAAGAACCCAATTAAAAAATGGACAGAGGAGCTGAATAGACACCTCTCCAAACAGGACACACAAATGGCCAAGAGACATATGAAGAAATGCTCATCATCACTAATCATCAGAGAGAAGCAAATTAAAACAACAATGAGGTATCACCTCACACCTGTCAGAATGGCCGCCATCAACAAATTATCAAACAAGAAGTGTTGGCGAGGGTGTGGAGAAAAGGGGACTCTAGTGCACTGCTGGTGGGAATGCACAGTGGTGCAGCCACTATGGAAAACAATATGGTGTTACCTCCAAAAATTAAAAATTGAACTTCCATTTGACCCGGTGATCCCACTTCTAGGAATATGCCCTAAGAAGCCTGAAACACCAATCAGAAAGAATATATGTACCCCCATGTTCATAGCAGCACTATTTACAATAGCTAAGATCTGGAAACAGCCCAAGTGTCCATCAGTAGAGGAATGGATAAAAAAGCAGTGGTACGTATACACGATGGAGTGCTATGCAGCGGTAAGAAAGAAAGATCTCTTATCCTTTGAGACGACATGGAGGGACCTGGAAAGTATTATCCTAAGTGAAACAAGCCAAGCAGAAAAAGACAAATACCACATGATCTCACTTATTTGCGGAATTAATGAACATAACAGTCTGAGGAATAGGGTAGACCCAGAGACATGGACTGGTACAGACTGACAACTCTCAGAAGAGGGTGTGGTGGGGGAAGGGAAGAGATAAACCACAGAACTTATATGCATGTACGCATAACCAATGGACATGGACAACAAAGCCGGGGATGGGGCGGGGGGGATGGGGAGGAGGGTGTCAATGGGGTGAAAAAGGAAAAACATCTGTAACAAAAATAAAATTTAAAAAATAAATAAATAAAATAAAACCGTCAAAAAAAAAATGGAAAAATGTCCTCAGGTGAGGATAAAAACAAAACAAACAAACAAACAAAAATAGTAAAAGGGGGAAGGCAAATGGGCAGTTAGTGTTTAAAGACTTACAATTTTGCAAGATGAAAAGAGTTCTGGAGTTGTGTGGCATTGATGGTTGCACAGTGATGTGAATGTACTGAATACCACTGAACGCTGCACTTTAAAATGGTTAACATGGTAAATGTTATGTTCTGTGTATCTTACCACAAATAAAAATAATTTTTAAAAATTAAAGAAAAACGAAACAAAATGCTGGTTATAAGGATGCTCAAGGAACTTAGTGAGATCTTCAAGGAACTTAAGGAGAACTCCAAGAAACTTAGTGAGAATGTCAACAACATAAAAAAGGACCAGTCAGAAATGAAGGATACACTAACTGAAATAAAGAGTAATTTATTTAGAACAGCAAAAAGAAAAAAGAATCCAAAAAAATGAGGACAGTGTAAGGACCCTCTGGGACATCTCCAAGCATACCAACATTCACATCGGGGGTGCCAGAAGGAGAAGAGAGAGGGCAAGAAATTGTAAAACCTATTTGAAAAAATAATGACAGAAAACTTCCCTAACTTGGTGAAGGAAACAGACATACAAGTCCAGGAAGCACAGAGTCCCAAACAATATGAACCGAAAGAGGCCCACACCAAGACACATCATCATCAAAATGCCAAAGGTTAAAGACAGAGAGAATCCTAAAAGCAGCAAGAGAAAAGCGGTTCGTTACCTACAAGGTAGTTCCCATAAGACTGTCAGCTGATTTCTCAAAAGAAACTTTGCAGGCCAGAAAGGAGTGGCAAGAGATATTCAAGGTGATGAAAAGCAACGACCTACAATCAAGATTACTCCATCCTGCTAAGCTATCATTTGGAATCGATAGAATATCAAGAGTTTCCCAGACAAGAAAATGCTAGAGTTCATCACCACTAAACCAGTATTACATGAAATGTTGAAGAGTCTTCTTGAAGGAGAAGAACAAAAAAATGTACAATAAAGTGGCAATAAATACATATCTATCAACAATTGAATCGACACACAAAATGAGCAAGCAGAACAGAAACAGACTCATAGATACAAAAAACTTTTTGTTGCTTGCCAGATGGAAGGGGGCTGGGGAGATGGTGAAAAAGGTGAAGGGATTAAGAAGTACAACTCGGTTGTTAGACTGATGAACCTCAAAGGGAAGGGGGAGGGAGGGCTGGAAGAGACAAACCAAAGAACTTCTATGTATATATGCACAACTAATGGACACAGACAATAGTGTGGGGAAGGCAGGAGGGGAGCGGGAGTGGGAAGGGGGGGTCATTGGAGGAAAAAAGGGGAGACATCTGTAATACATTCAACAATAAAGATAAGTTAAAAAAAAAAAACAGAGGGACCTGTCCCCCTGTGCTGTTGACACCTGTGGTTACGGGGGCTGAGAGGCTCATTGGGCATTTCTTAGAATACATTTCTGAATTGTTTCAGCATTTCCCTGTTTGTAACTGAGTGGTGTGAAGCTTCCTAAATGTTTGCAGAGGGTGTGAGTGATGTGGCACTCCCTGTGAAGGGGACAGGAGCCAGCCTCCCGGAGCCCCAGGGCTGCCCACATGCCAGGAAGGGATTTACCCCGGGCCCCTGTCCCGGGAGAGCCGGCCTGTGCGTGTCCTCCAGTGAGGGTGCTAGTGAGTTATGGAGGAACTAGGATTGGCTCCAAACCCACCAGGAAGTTGGGATTAAGAGGACTGTTTGTAAAGAGGTAGAAGAGGTTTCAAATGATCAGACCCACAATTCCCAGTTGTCTTAGAACTCCACACCCTGTAGAACTTTTTACTTTTTTTCCTTCCCTTGCCACCCTTCTGAGGGTACCATGGCTATCTACTGTCTTGAAACGACAAATTGTATGCAAATTTTAAAAACACTTTTAGCTCTCACCTTCCTCTCAACCACTGTTGCCTTCAGAAAACAGGAATCATTAGAACCCAGTGGAACCCTAAAACTAGTTGGATGGCCCTGACCAGTTTGGCTCAGCGGTTAGAGCATCGTCCCGCAGACCAAAGAGTCATGGGTTCGATTCCGGTCAAGGTCATTTTACCTCGGTTGTGATTCGATCCCCTGGCCCTAGTTGGGGTTGTATGGGAGGCAGTTAATTGATGTGTCTCTCTCACATTGATGTTTCTCTCTCCCTCCCTCCCTTTCATTCTATCTGAAAATCAATGGGAAAATACCCTCCAGTGAGAATTGAAAAAAAAAAAAGTTGGATGCCCTTTTGTCTCAGTGACGTGTGTTGGGCTGTGCTGTGCCCTTGTGTCCAGCCTGACTCCTTAGAATTGACACGAGGAGGACGAGCCCAGGAATACACACCTAGCCTTCTCCGAGCGCTCTCCCATTGTGCACCCAGGAAAGCATGGCACCTCTCTGCTGATGCGCGTTCCCTCTCGGGGGCGCTGGGTGATCATGCTTCAGAGCCGGATTCACACAGCAGGAGTGCAAGCGTTTGTACTTAACCCAGGAACACGGCAGTCAGATCCGTTCGCAGCCCCGGGGACCCAGTTAATCTCCTCGTTAGCAGTTTCTGAGATAGCATCAGCTAAACGCTCCCCAAGTGCACTCTTCATGTCTCGCATTGTTCTAATGTGTTGTTTCTCATCAGTATTAAAAATACAAGGAAGCGCCCTGGCCGGTTTGGCTCAGCGGTTAGAGCGTTGGCCTGCGGTCTGGAGAGACCCGGGTTCGGTTCCCGCTAAGGGCATGTACCTCGGTTGCAGTTTGTCCCCGGCCCTGGTTGGTCGTGCGGGTGGCGACCACTCGATGTGTCCCTTTCACATCGATGTTTCCCTCTCTCTCTCTCTTCCTCTCTCTCCCTCCCACTCTGTCTGTACAAAAAAAAAAAAAAAAAGGAAAAATGTCCTCGGATGAGGATTAAAAAAAAAAAAATACAAGGAAGCTAAAGTGGTTTTTGTTTTAAATTTCATACGTGAAGCACAAAACTAATAATTTTTTGCCAGTTGTACCCTGCACCTCAGTTGTAACTTTGTGCCGTATGTGATGGCTAGTTGAGCTTAGACAAAAGGGACGTTCCAACACTGTGTGCGTGAAGGGACAGCACTGACATGTGACGTCCTTACAGTCAGAGGCCACATGACAAACCGGTAGTGACCACTGTGTTTTCTCAATAGCTGATGAAGCCTCACTAATTCAGCCTGAGCGGAGAAAAGCTGCCCTCACTAATGTAAATCTAAATTTTAGAATACTTTGAAAGAAATTCTCAGAAGAGTTGTATTTTAAATTACAGTCAGAGCCAAGCAAACAGTAGCATAATTATCTTTATTAAACAGCCTTCCATAGTAGTGCTTCTGAAATTATCTGTGGGGAAGGACCAGGTTTTTAAATTTTTCTAATCTGCTGTGGACCGGTACTTGTGCAAAGTGCAGAATGCCGTCAGTGGCTGTCCTGACCATGCCCGATTGCTCTGAGACTTCCCAAGCGCTGTCTCAGCTCCGGGACTGTCCGCTGGGGAGCAACGGCCGTTGTGCCGGTGGTCAGTCAAGCAGCACTCTCCTCTGGCATTTAAAGCTTTAAAACCCCGAGCAGTTGACAGACTCCCCTCAGATGTGTCGTCCTAATTTTTATTCATTTTGCAGTGTTCTTAAGTGGAGAGCCTATCAGAATTAGGACCACTTTGCAGCTACTAGACCTTGAGTCTGAAATGGTACTTGTTCTTGGCCTGATGACTCACTCACTCAAGCTCACCACCCGGTCCCCCGTCTGGGTGGAATATCATGACGGCTGTGTTCCTCCCCACACAGAGAAGAAGCAGTACCGGGAGTCGTACATCAGCGACAACCTGGACCTCGACATGGACCAGCTGGAAAAGCGGTCCCGGGCCAGCGGCAGCAGCGCGGGCAGCGTGAAGCACAAGCGCCTGTCCCGTCACTCCACCGCCAGCCACAGCAGTTCCCACACCTCGGGCATCGAGGCGGACACCAAGCCCCGGGACACGGGCCCGGAGGACAGCTACTCCGGCAGCGCCATCCACCGCAAGCTCAAGACCTGCAGCTCCATGACCAGCCACGGCAGCTCCCACACCTCGGGGGTGGAGAGCGGCGGCAAGGACCGGCTGGAGGAGGACCTGCAGGACGATGGTAACCTTCCCCCACCTCCGCGCCAGCCCCACTGACCGGTCCTCACCAGCTCTCTTTCTCTCCTGGTTGTTTTTCAAGTATAAGTTCTACAGAATTGATGTCTGCAGAACAACTAAGAAGTAGTAATAGAGAAAGGTGTTTTGCCACCTTCCCCAGTGACTTGGTTGAGTTGTTGTGTTTGACTATGAACAACATCTCTCTCTAGTCACGATCCTTTGTCGCCACAGGGCTGACGGTGGTGGAGTCCAAGTGTCAGGGTTTATGGAGTAGAAGTTCGTCCCGCAGCCTTGGGTCTGCATTTCTGGTTTCCAGATGAAATAAGCATATGGTTAGGACAGCAGACTGGATTCGACCATAGTGACAAAAATGTCTTGAACTTCCACCAGAAAAAAAAGTTTGACTCCAGGCCATTTGATTCATTAGTATTTCTTAAATACTTCCCACGTCACCAGAATTCTAGGAAGTATAACAAACACGGCACCCGGCTACTTCCCTCGGGGTAAGGAAATAAGATGAGACCCACAGCCTGTATCAGCCAGACTTAGCCTTTCGTACGTCTTTTTTTATTTTTCTGCTTCAGATCGTTGCTATAGTATTCAGGTTTGGGGAGAACATACTGACTCCATTAAGGAAAACTGCAGAACATATGTTTGATCAAGTAGAATTCACGTGGGCCTCGGGCGCAGCAGCTCCGGGCAGCGGCTCGTTCTCCCCGGTCCCCGGGCGGCGGCTGCTTTGGGCGGAGGACCCGTCGGTGCCCTGTCACTGCCGCCTGGCAGCACAGCTGTTCTTCTTCCTTAAAGAGTAAATGATAATTGACAGTCAGGTCACGGCACTGGAAGACTTGTGGGTGACACCACGATCTTGGGAGAAAGAGCAAATAGCAGCTCGTGGAGAATGGTCCCCAGAGTGGACTGTTGCGGAGCCTCGTTAGCCAGTTTATTTGTAAACATGAGTAATTGCAGAGCCTCTCTCAGACTGCGGCTGTGCGATATGGTGGCCCTTTCCCTGTCTGTCTCTAAATGTCTTTTTCCTTTTTCTGTGTCAGAAATAGAGATGCTGGTTGATGACCCCAGGGACCTGGAGCAGATGAACGAAGAGTCTCTGGAGGTCAGCCCGGACATGTGCGTCTACATCACGGAGGACATGCTCCTGTCGCGGAAGCTGGGTGGACACTCCGGTGAGCTCTGCGGGGAGCTCCCCTGGCTGGTGGGCTGTCCTGGAGGAGAAGCAGGTGCCTCTGACAGTGGAGTGGGTGACTGGCTCACAGAGGCTGGAATGAGAGGCTTTCCAAGGCAGCGTCGTGAACGGCAGGACGAGTGCCCTCGTGGAGGGGATGGGGAGGAGCACCCAGGATCGGGGAGCGGCATCCACCACCCCTTGCTCTGGACGAAGGTGTAGGGTTCTCTCTCTCTGTCTTGTGCTATTTTAAATGAGAGAGAATAATGTAATAGATCTGGAAGGGCCCTCAGGGACCCTTCAGACCGGCCTCCGCTTTGCAGATGAGGAAGCTGTGGATTAGAGAGGACAGGTGCTGTGTGGCTGGGAAGGGAAGGCAGGTCTCCAGGTGGGTTTGCTTTGTTTTCCCCAGGATATTACATGAGGCACAGGAATGTGGAGGAAAGGGTGTCAGAAAAGATTGACGTGGAAAGGCAATTTTAAATTCAGTGTTGGATGAATTCTTCTAGAAAACATGCTTTCACCATAACCCTATTATAGGGTTCTGTACTGTTACATAATATAATATATATTTCTGTCAGATGAAAGATGTCATCTTGAAAAAAAATAGCAGTATGGGTTTTGTTTTTAAACCTCAGTGACTTCTGTTTTTGTCAAGTCATGAATTAGTCTCTGTTCTTCAGAGAAAGGTGCCTTAGGACCTAACAAGGTCTGTGGAAGTGGCCTAGGTGCTTATTGTTATGCCACTCAAAGCTTTTTATTTTTAATCCTCACCTGAGGACATTTTCCCATTTTTGTTCAGATAGAGTGGGAGGGAGAGAGAGGAAGAGAGAGAGAGAGACACATCAACGTGAAAGAGACACATCGAGTGGCTGCCTCCCATACTACCCAACCAGGGCCAGGGACAAATCACAACCGAGGTACGTGCCCTTGGCCGGAATCTAACCTGAGACTCATTGTTCTGCGGGCCAACACTCTAATCACTGAGCCAAACCGGCCAGGACCCACTCAAAGCTTTGATTGGGTGAAAGACCCTGTTAGGACTGGAGGGACTGCCACTGCCCTGTGAGCCCCACAGCCTGATGGTGAGCCTCCCCCTTGCACATGGGTGGGGATCAGAGAGGAATCGGCCAGCACAGTCCTCGCCACCCTGGCACTTACGGTGCGAGAGCGTGAGGAACCTTTAATTCCACGCACTAGCCTGGCAGAACTATGGCCTTCAGATGCCCTGCAGGAGCAGACCCCGGTGGTGGCAGGAAATCGGTCATGCCTAGAGTTCCTATACCCAGCTCCAGCCCCCACACCCCGCCTTAGCCCGTTTGATTTACTGTGTTGAATTTTTCCTTACAAATACATTTCAGTGTACATTAAATATAATTTCATAATTATATGCACATTATAGGTTCACAGCACACTCTTGTTCACTGTGTGTGTGTGAATGCATGTGTGTGTGTATGTGAATGCACACACAATAATGTACATAAAAGTGCCTGTGGGAAGGGGGTATTGGGAGGTATTTAACACAGAAAGTTATTTCTTTAGGTTACTAGCAGTGGCTGAATAAAAATCACATTACTCAGATTCTTTTTATAAGGTGAGAAGGCCCTTAAGCTATTTGGCCTTAAGGATCTGGGACTTGACCCACTACTCACTTGCTTCATCTGTTTGCAAGAAAAATGTCAGTGATCTTCCCTTACATTTCCAGTTCTTGTTGGCAATTTTACCTTCTGAAACATTTTGGGAGGATGCTTCATTCACATGCTACGGTCTCATAAGGAACTGTCAGCCCTGGGTTTCTGTGTCCAAATATGAGCAGGTTGCCCCTGAGCACTGGGGTGACTAGGGACCCTGCTGGTCTTAGAGATCCAGATGGAGTCTTCACTGTGGCCTCCCATCCCGGTCTCCTACCCATGACGGGGTTGGCTGCAGGAGGTGTGGACCACAGGGTCCTTGTCGGCCAAGAAGAGCTTCTGTGAATCAAGCATGTTCCATGTGCAGGCCTGTACCTCACGCTTTTCATACATGTGCTGTTCATTGTAAAACTGTTGATGAGTGCTATTATCAGCCCCTTTATAAGAGAAGGAGACTGAGACACGGTGGTTAAGTAAGTGGCCCGGACATACAGCTAATCCGTTGTCGGGCCGAGTTGCAGCCCAGGTCTGTGAGACTCCAGAGGCAGAGCCCTCACCCGCCCCACCTCGTGTCCAGGTGAACCAACCCTGGAGGGCTCCGCCCCTGTTCAGGCTTAAATGCAGTTAGTGCTACGGGGAAAGTGGGAAACTTCAGGAGATGCAGTAAAGAGGCTGCTTCATACCTCTGGTCTTTGGTTTTGCTAATAACTTCATCATAAATAGCTTAATTAAAAGGTTATTTTAGAAAATTCAGGCTCTAAACTCCTTCCTAACTCAAACCCCACATTCATCTCAGCCCCCACCCCAATTTACTTTAAGATCCAAGATGAAATGTTTTCCATCTTCGTTGTCTGTCACCGAAGAGTCACAGTGAGATTTCCCAGTGATGGGTAATACTCGCTCTTGCAGTTTTAGTAGCAGTGTATATGTTAGATATGTGGCAAGAGGTGTGAATAGCTAGAAGTGTTCACTGTTGTCCTGTCTTACTTTAGGGTTGATTGTGAAAGAAATCGGTTCTTCCACCTCCAGCTCCTCAGAAACAGTTGTCAAACTTCGTGGTCAGAGCACCGATTCTCTTCCACAGGTATGGAAAGAATTGAACATTTTAAATAGGAACTTAACGCCTGGCTGGTGTTGAGCGTCGACCCATGCACCAGGAGGTCGCCAGTTCGATTCCCGGTCAGGGCACTTGCCCAGGTTGTGGGCCCGATCCCCAGTGGGGGGCATGCGGGAGGCGGCCAGTCGATGTTCTCTCTCATCGATGTTTCCATCTCTCTCTCCCTCTCCCCTCTTCTCTCTCTAAAATCAATAAAGAAAAAAATAAATAGGAACTTAACATTTATATGTATATAAAGAGGTAAAAATGAAAAATCCTGAGGAAATGATTCTTACCAGACACATACATTATAGTTTTATTCTGAACTCGCTTCCATTTCATTTGCTAGTTCCATTTATCTTGGAGTTTGGATAAATTGTGATTTTGGTTTTGGATAAATTATGGACTTTGTTTCACACACACTGCAGGGGGGAAGCCCCTCGTGCTCAGGCCGCAGGTGGACCCGTGAGCGTGCTGACTGACAGTCACCGTCAGGTGTGCGGTGGCCAGTGTCTCCACACTCCGATTCTTCCGACCAGAGTGCCTTTTCCCAGTATACTAGGGGAGTATTTGATAACTGTGTTCCCTGGTTAGGCTGCTAAGATGTCAAAAGATACAGATAAGTAAACATACTCTACTGCTCATGGTTGCAGCATCTGGATATAATGTACAATTGACATTCACCCCTATTTCTGAGCTCTCTGTCTCTCCTTCTATCTCTCTTTTTCTTGGGTTCTCTCTTTTTTCTTCTTTGCATTTATTTTATTTCTTTTTTTTCTCTTGCCTTCTGGCAGTCTTTGCCTCCTACATTTTTCTCTCCTTTTTCCCATTTGCCCTTTTTCCTCCAGCTTCTGTTTAAGTAGTCGTGATGCGAAGTGATGTTTTATTAAATGTATTTCTGAAAACTCCAGTGAGGGATTTTTAAAGCTGTGTGTGTAGCATGATGATTAGGTGGACGAGCTCTAGGGTCAAACGGCCTGGTTTGCCTCCTGCTAGGCCACTGAGTGTGCGCCCTTAATGTACATAAATGCTTGTGGGCACAGCTAAGGGTCAGAGTCCTCACCAGAGAACGGGGAGGGCATTTGTGTGCCTGCCTTGAGGGTTTGTGGTGACGACCTGACAAACTCTCCCTGTGAACGCGCGTGGGCGCCCGGGAAGACGACATCGGTGCCAGGGACTGTCACCTTCAGGGGGTGCTCCGAGGTGACACTTCCTAGTAAAATATTGTTGGGCTCAGACCCTGTTCTGTCCTTTTGGTACTTCTGCCTCTTAATTCTCACAGGATGGGCCCCGGTGGTGCCCAGCAGCAGAAGTGAGAGAGAGAATGCCTCATCTCCGTAAATAACCCTTTGTGTCTTCCATTTATGTAGTCGTCTGAGCCATTTTTCAGCCTATTTATATGTTCAGCCAGTACCACCTCTTGGGATGACGAGTTCCAAAAGTCTGCTCCCTGCGGCGAGAAGCGTTTGGCAGAGCCCGGCCTCCTGCGGTTCGCGCACTGGCCTCGGCCCGCACTGGCCTCCCGGCCTTCTCTGCACCACGAGCGCTTCGGGTTCTTTTTCTGCCCAGGAATTCTGGCTTTTTAAAAATAGCTCTTCAATCTGTGTTTCTTGGGTAATGATTGGCTTGTTTTCCCATTTCTTACTGACATAACAACAGACCTCAGCGTGAAAGCGTTGCCACACGGAACTGCCACCTCCCAGTGACACAACAAAGAGGCAGCGTCTCCATCTGCACAGCCTGGTTTTTTAGACAGTTGCCTGATTTCTGAGATGCTAGAAATAGTTGGCTTCCTGACGCATTTACTTCTGTATGCCTTGGATTGTTCGTCTGTAAAATGGGGAGCATATTAATAGCACCCGTCTCCTAGGGCTAATGGGAAGATTCAGTGAGGTGATAATGCGTGAAGTGTGTTTCTATCAGGGCCTACTACATACTAATGGCTCAGTCATTGTGAGCTGCTATTATTTATTTATTTATTTTTGTAATCCTCACCCGAGGACATTTTTTTGCATTTATCTTCAGATAGAGCGGGAGGGAGAGAGAGAGAGAAACATCGATGTGAGAGAAACACATTATCTGGCTGCCACCCACACGACCCCAACCGGGGCTGGGGACAAACTGCAACCGAGGTACGTGCCCTTAGCGGGAACCAAACGTGGGTCTCTCTGGTCTGCGGGTGACACTGTCCGCTGAGCCAAACTGGCCAGGGTGTTAGCTGCTAGTATTGCTATTGGTGGTGCTGATGTTATTTTTCTCCGGGGCCCAGGTACCTCAGGTTGGAAACCTCTCTGACACACAGGGCTTCCTTAGCCCTGCATGTGGTTCTGCAGCCTGTCTCTCCAGGGCCACTGTTGCTAACCTTTCACTTCAGCCTGTACTCTGGAAGTTGTTTCAGCCTTCCCTTGTTTTGCAGACTATATGTCGAAAACCAAAGACTTCCACCGACCGACATAGCCTGAGCCTTGACGACATCAGACTTTACCAGAAGGACTTCTTGCGCATCGCAGGTCTGTGTCAAGACACGGCTCAGAGTTACACCTTCGGGTGCGGCCATGAACTGGACGAGGAAGGTCTCTACTGCAGCAGCTGCTTGGCTCAGCAGTGTGTCAACATCCAAGATGCGTTTCCAGTCAAAAGAACCAGCAAATACTTCTCTCTGGATCTCACTCACGATGAAGTTCCAGAGTTTGTTGTATAAAGTGTGTCTGCACGCGGCTGCACGGCGGCCTGCTGTTCGCAGAGGCTGTGGAAGCCATGAGCTCTTTCTCGTTCCCTGTGCCATATTTTCTTCACCCAAACGCAGCTCTCTCTTTATGATACTTGCAATGGAAATAAAAGCCTTGGGACAGTCGCACTTTATGTGTCACACAGAGGTCAAAGAGAATGTACTACAAGACAAGTGCCTGGAAGTCCGTGGTCCTATGGACGGAAATGTGTTTCACTGGTTACCGCGCCTTCAGAACTTTGAACCGTGGTGTGTTTGGTCGTCGTTTTGGTCGGTCACACATAACATCACATTCTTTTTTCATGTGGATGATGTTGTTAGGCCTGTTTGCCTGTAAATCTTTTTTATCAGTCCCTCATGAAATGCTCATGTGTTGAGGGAGGAGGGAGAAGAGAGTCTCTCTTCCTTACTAGAGGACCATTGCCATTGCCGCCTCACTGGGACTGTCCCAAAGTGAACCCTAGCAAAGCAGTCACAGCCGTGTGGTCCTAGCAAGCCAAAGAGATGTACATAATGGAAGTGTAGCCCAGGGTGATACCGGAAGGTGTGAACTAAGCAATAACCGGAAGACGGTGCGTGCTGCGAGGCCCGGCCCCTCCCCCCAGCCAGTGCCATGGCTCCCCGGCTCCTCCGGGATTCTAGGGCTCAGCTGAGCTCCTCATCCAAGCAACAGATCGACTGTGTTCATGTCAGTGTATTTTGTGGAGTTTCCAACACTGTTTTCTGTTAACACTATGGAGCTGTCTCAGAAAATGTTTGTGCTTAGTGTTTTTTGTTTTGTTTTTTTGTAATAAATCAAGAACAAATTATGGTAATGCTAGTTCCTGCTTAACCAAAAACACCCTAGCTATATGCATATGTTATTATACATATATAAATACATAAGGTAGTATGTGTTCGTGTGTGTTTAAAGCCTTCGTGACTATCTTGTGTACATGGTCAATCTTGTGTGATATGGGGGATGCGTCGTTGAATGAATGACACCTACAGACAATCAGTTGACATAGATAGTTGAAAGTGACTATTTTCTCACGTGTCTTGCCGTGATTCTCGACCCTGGTTGCATCATAGAATTATTTGGGGAGGTTTAAAAAAAAATGATGTCTGAGTCCCACCTGCATTGACTTGAATGAGCCTCTTGTGAGACCCAGATGGAATTGCCTTTTCTTTTAAAGTTCTCTCAATAGGGCTAATAAGCATTAGCGTTGAAAACCAGTGATCAAGAGGATGTCTTTGTTTAAATTTTGAAGTAAAAGCATACAGAAAATGTTCGTGTTCGAGAAAGGGCCATTTTTGAGACAATTACTGCCACTACTGTAGGAAACCATGTCAGGAGTGAACTTGCTAACCTGGAGGTGTACAGTAACAATGTTGCTCACTCAGGAGAGTTCTCTAGCACAAAGTCTTCCTAGGAGATGTTTGTAATGATTTCGTATTTAAAACATTTATTTACCATATTTTGATACACCATTTTTTCTACCTATCAGATTTTATTAAAAAAAAAAAAAGCTATATATTATTTTCTAAAGAAACAGTCATATTTTTATACAAAATTACGTTTTCAGGTAACAGAGAAATAGAGTTAGGGTGCAGCAGAGCACGCAGTGTTCCCGGGGGTGGGGTCAGTATCAGACACGGGGAGAACTGAGCCCCACTGTGCGCCCCCGCGTCCCCACGTGATGGGCGGGGCAGCGGGCACACAGCCATCAAATCAGTCTAATGGACACTCGAAAAGGAAAAACAAGTCTATAGAGTGCTCTAGTCACAAAATTATTTTACTTTCATCAAATGTTTTGAAAGAACCAAAGTTTCAGATATCAGAATGTATATAAGTGTCTCAGTCTCTGCGTAGAAGGATGGAAGTATGAAAGGATCATCTAATGACTAGTGTGCTTACAAGTCATTAAATAGTTCACCATTTCTTATCGATGCGCAAGGGACACCTCCCGGGGAAGTTGGACTGGAAAGAGCCCAGATCATACCGTGCTGCATTTCCTTAGCTTGGAGTGCTTCTTGCAAACATGAAGAAAAAAAATGCATTTATTTACTAGGTAGTGCTTTATACTTTATTTTCTCTCTTCTTCAACCTGAGTCGAGTTCTCGGGGTTCTGCCAGCACTGTTGGTTTTGCACACCTTCTTTCTAATCGGATTGATGAATAGTCTTGTAGGTTTTCAAAAGTGAAACAAGCTGAGAACATTTTTGCTTTTTGATCCACTGTTTGCAGCAGAATTATATATATGTATATGAAAACCCATTTTGAATACCTACATTTTTGTATTTGGAAATTGTTTAAAAAAAAAAGTATAAAGCTGTTATTTATTCTGCATTTGTGAATATCCACTGCTAGTTAGTATACAAGTTTGGTATACATCGCTTCAACATTTGTATTTCAACAGTGAGCTTTATATCTACACAAACTGTAAATAATCCTTTCTGTGAAAGGATCATCATATCAGGATGATACCAAACATGTGTAAAAAAAAAAATCTGCGTTATTTTGTAATTATTCTTATAGGCATTTCATGGTAAGATTAACAGTCAATAAAGTTACTTTTTATTTGTCTTTGAGTGCTTTTTTTTTGGTTAGAGTTCTCAATTAAGCAAAGAGTGTTAAAGACTGAATGCTTCCTTTGTGTTCCTCTTTCCTCCAACAGCACTTTAAAGGACGGCCTGTAGTTCCAAGGTGGGAGCGTGCTGAGCCCCCCGCGCACCCGACCCTGCTCCCCGTGTGTTAGAAGTGTGTTTGCTAACTCGTTTCAGCCTCGTCTTCCCAGAGGGCTGGTACTGTCATTATTCTTAAGTTAGAGATGAAGGAACCAAGGCTTCCAGAGGCGGAGTCCAGTCCAAGAGGTTTGACAGCCACTATTCAGTGCCCAAGTGTGGGGCTGAAAGGACTCTACTTCTTTAGATATAGTAGCTATTTTAATAAGTAAAAAAATAACTGCTGTACGTTTTGCCCTTAAAATAATCATCGTTTGAGTGTTGGTTTTAATTTCAAAGAAGTAAGTGGTTGCATTTTTTTTTTTAATTTTTTCTCTTTATTGATTTTAGAGAGAGGAAGAGAGAAGGAGAGAGAGATGGAAACATCAATGAGAGAGAACATTGATTGGCCGCCTCCTACATGCCCCATACTGGGGCGGGCCCACAACCTGGGTATGTGTCCTGACCGGGAATTGAACCGGCGACCTCTTGGTGCATGGGTTGATGCTTGGGCAAAAAAATAAGTGGTTGCATTTAAAAGCACACGTTCCTAAGACGGAAGGTGAGGGTATCGGTCATGCAGGACAGAGCCTAGAGCTTCGAGTCCACAGACAGGATTCTGAAATGCCCTGGCTCTCCTAAAAGAAGGTCCATCTCCTCTGCTCCTATTGTCTTGGCTATAAAAATGCAGGTAATAATTCAAAGGATTGTTGGGGATTAAACAAGGTGATAGGTATAATATGCTCTGAATGACTAAGGTGGGAGAGAGGAAGGTTTTCAAATCTGACAATCATTAAACTTTTATAGAATTGAGCCACTGTCATTTGGAAGCATAAAATTCAAAACAAGCTTTCTGGTGGGTTGTTACTTGTGAATTTTGCAGATTGTCTGTTAGATTTAAGTAAATTGGAGGCAAGGGGAAAAAATCTGGTTGCCTACTATGTGTCTGGTACTACCCACATCATGTCTAATCATCACGACCCTTCAAGGAGTTGTCACCCCCATTTTGTAGCTGAGGGAACTCCTCCACTTGCCCCAAATCCTATAGCTAGTACATAGTGGAGCAGAGTTTTAAGCCCACACTCATCTCCAGAAGCTTTGCTTTTTCCCTTACTTACATCATGTACCCATTGCCCTGGGAGAAAGCTCAGAATCTAATAGGGAAGACAGACTTCAAATTTTGTTAGTGTAACAAATGAAATTTATTTATTTTTTCTTTTTAAACTTATCTTTATTACTGAATGTATTACAGATGTCTTTCTTTTGTCCTCCACACACCCCCTCTTCCCTGCTCCCGCTCCCCTCCTGCCTTCCCCACACTGTTGTCTGTGCCCACTGGTTATGCACATATGCATAGAAGTTCTCTAATTTATCTATTCCTGCCCTCCTCCCCCTTCCCTTTGCGGTTCCTCAGTCTAACAACAAATTTGTACTTAATTCCTTCACCTTTTTTACCCATCCCCCGCCCATGAGATTTATTCGTTGATGCACTATTTTTTATTTTTTTTATTGTTTTAAGCACCCACTCTCTGCCAGACATACACAGGGCTTGTACAGGTATTGCTTTGGCATAGGCAGTGAAGACCTCGGGCGTGAGAACAGGAGGAGGGAAGATCAAAAAAAGTTTTACTTGGAAGAAGAGCCTTGAATGAGGTGAGCTACAAGCTGTCCAGGCAAAGGCTTAGGAGCTGGAGACAACTGCTCCTTAGGGATCTGCAAGGACCCACAAGGGACCTTTGAGCCGATGAGACTCTCCAGCCTCATTATGAAAGGCCTGGGGCTCCCAGAGAAGGACACTGAGATTTTTCTGGACAGCAGGGACCCACTGAAGAGGGCATGAGAAGAAAGGTGTGTTTGGGGTTGGAGAGAAATAGCGGGAGCAGTGCTCGTTGAAGGTGGGGAAGGGCAGCGAGCCGAGAGCGAGGATGAAGACCTGGACTAAGGAAGGCTCTGGCAGCAGGGGGAAAGGGAAAAATTCAAAAGCCATGTAGGAAGCCGAATTACAGGACTGTCACACACACACACAAGGTTGTCACCTCCTAACCTAAATACTGGAAGCACAGGCAGTTTTGCCATACTTGGAAATATCCTTGGAAGACTGAAGAGTTACTTACTGCTTTATATTATAAATCAATAATCTACCCTGCGTGAATGCTTTGAATATCGGCACTCCAGTCTAGCAGTGGCTCTCCACCCTGGCTGTACGTCAGAATGACCCGGGGAACAAACAGCAATGCCTGGGGCCCAGAGCACAGCTTCTGATTTATTTGGTCTGGGGTGGGCATGCTACCAGACACGCTGGTGATGCTAGTGCGCGTCAGGGTTGCAAACCACGGGGCTGGAGGTGAGCCCAAGCAACAGAGACCAGTCAGGTGATCTGCTCCTGAACTGACGTGATCCACACTTGGGATGGGTTGTGTCTCCAGGGTGTCCGGATATATTGCATTTTGTGAGACTGACATTTTCTTTGTGCCAGTATAGCTGTCAGAGAGTGGCCCAGTGTTCAAGTGAGGCCTTGTGCTCAGTGTCTCAGAAAGTCTGAGTACACCCACGTGCAGAGACTTGGGTGTTGCATGCATATGACTGTTTGGCCAAGTAAGAGGGTGGGGTTACATGGGTATAGCAAAGTGCTAAGAATCTCCCTGACTGTTTTATTTGCCTCATCATTGTGCTGATGTTTCATGTGATCTGCACACAGAGGTATAAATGAAAATAAGCTAAACTCCACCCGCCCTTTGAGTCTTAGGAGATGTATTTGAGTTAATGGAGGAGGCTAATCTCTGAAAAGTTCTGCTCAGAAGCTATGAGCCACTATAGGTGATGGATTTATATACTCTCAGGAGATGAATTGAAGATCTATAAATAGCTACAATTAACCAACTCATTATTTAGGATGTGTGTTTACCCATTCAATGTGAACCATGGTCAGTTAAGGTTCCCTCAGTTTATTACTGTCATTATGGCAAGAGATGGATTTCATAAGAACAGAGAGTTCCCAATTTAGGAAGGGATTATGTTCCAAGTCTGCTTCTAAATTGGTTGTTTGATATTTAGAACATACATCCCCAACTTCCTTAACTAGCTCACGAATGCCTTTTTATCCCAGAGATATTATTAGAGACCATTTTTTCTGTGCACCAGTAATCATCTATTAAAGAAGAGACCCGGGGTATAAATAAGGTAGGTGGAGGGACCCCGCAACCAGACAGAGATGATAGCACCCCCAGTAGACCATGAGTTCAATCTTTAGGGTTTACTTTTCAGAGTTTATCCATTCCCAACTATAAATAAAAGTAGGGGGAAAGTTTCAGCAAGCCATGCCAAAATGAAGAAGCCCTGAGCCAGTTTCCACCCCGTTGGGGTTCTGTGAGGGGTGCTGCTAGTGTTTTCTCAGCCAGACTCCAGGCCCCAGTTCCGAGCTGCTCGACCCTGCTCTGCCGTCATGAAGGAGAGACCAGGAACTCAGCCGGCAGTGAAGATCCGGTCACAGGTCCCCTCCTGATCTGCAGAGGTGGGGAAGAGGATGGGTCTAGGAGCCACTCAGTGAAGCAGAAGCCCCAGGGTACCCGGAATTGCAGCTACAGGCTATAAGTAAGATGCTATAGGAGGGAAGTTAAAGAGCCTGTATTGAGGCCTTTAAATGCAACACCA